AAATATGAAAATGAAGGATGAATTCATTTTAGGATCATAATTTACACAAGATTAATTTATCATTCCAGCAAGTATAGCCATTTGTTACTTTTTTTTAACATGCATAATCGGATTAATTGTAGAATGATTCATTGTTGTCAAGTTTTGCATACTATAAGATAATTATCAAAGTATGCGTCTCTCTCCCTCTCTCACACTCTCTTCTTTTATCTAAAGTTGCAAATCACTTTTTCCCCTTCCCCCCTTTTTTCCCACCACATCTTTTTTCCTCCCTTCATTGTCTTCTTATATATTTATATAGGATTTATATAGAAAAAAATCTTCTATAAAATCACTTTTAGAATGTTTTATCAAAAAAGCTCACGTCTCAGTTGTTGGAAGATAATTTTCAAAAGCTATATATTTCTCTCCCTGCCGTATTCTTTATGTATGGTGTAACAGTTAGATTCATAAACGAAGTTAGAATCACATTAGATAAGGCACGAATATATTTTAATATTTTAATCCCATTTTATTTTTGCTTTAGTAATGAGATTTATTTTTTCTCATCCTTGAGAATATATTATATATAAAATTCTCCGTGGAATTAACTACATATCAAAAATTTTATAATATAATAATAATATTATGTAGAATAACTTTTACTACTCATTTTAGAAATTAATAAGATTTATAAAAAAAACAGCTGTCTGACTATAAACTGACTTTTACTACTGATTTTCGAAATTATAATTATTAAGGAAAAAAGATGTCTGACTATAAGCTGACTATTACTCCTACTGATTTAACATATAAGGATAATTTTGAAAAAAATATGTCTGACTGAAAATTGAAAATTGAAAAAAAAATTGATCTGTACTACTGATTTTTAATTAAGGAAAATTATTAATAATAATGAAAAATTCAGATTAAATATTGAAATTTTTTATCTTCAAAACCAGAAAGGTAAACATATCATTAAGTATTTTCATGTCTGGCTAAAACTGACCTGTACTACTGATTCTTAATTAAGAAAAATGATTATTAATAAAAAAAGCTGTAAATTGAATAATGAAATTTTTCATCTTCAAAATAGTAAAGAAATAGGAAAATATTTCCCGGTCTGACTAAAATTGATTTAAACTATTGATTTTTAATTAACGAAAATTTACTTTACTAATAATAATAAGAAAAATTCTAAATTAAACACTCAAATTATTGTCTACTAAAAGTAATGAAAATAGTTCAAAATTTCGGGTCTGACTAAAATTGACCTATACTACTGAATCTTAATTAAGAAGAATTATCATTTACATAAAAAATGCTGTTGACTCAATTTTAATATAATTATGTAGAAAAATATTTTTAAAAATAATTAAATATTTCAAGGTCTGACTGAAATCGACCTACACTACTGAAGTTTATTTAAGAAACATTATTATTATTAAATAAAACTTGATTTTTTTAGTCATTTTATAGTTAATAAATTTTTCATTTTCAAAATCAAAAAGGTAAAAAAAATAATGAAGTATTTTCAGGTCTGACACTAAAACTGACCTGTACTACTGATTCTTAATTAAGAAAAATAATTATTAATAGAAAAAAGCTGTAAATTAAATAATTAAATTTTTTATCTTCAAAATAGTAAAAAAGTAAATAAATATTTCCCAGTCTGACTAAAATTGATCTAAACTACTAATTTTTAATTAACGAAAAATTACTTTGCTATAGCAAAGTAATATATTAATAACAGAAATTCTAAATTAAACACTGAAATTATTGTCTACTAAAAGTCAAGAAAATATTTAAATATTTCTGGGCTGATTAAAACAGACCTATACTACTGAATTTTAATTAAGTAAAATTATCATTTACATAAAATATGCTGTTGACTAAATTTTAATATAATTATGTAGAAAAATATTTTTTTAAATAATTAAATATTTTAAGGTCTGACTGAAATTGACCTACACTACTGAAAAATTTAATTTAGAAACATTATTATTATTAAATAAAACTCTGGATTTTTTTCAGTCATTTAACAGTTAATAAATTTTTCATCTTCAAAATCAAAAAGGTTAAAAAAAATAATTAAGTATTTTCAGGTCTGACTAAAAGTGACCTGTACTACTGATTCGTAATTAAGAAAATTTATTATTAAGAAACAAAAATGCAGATTAAATATTAAAATTTCTTTCTTAAAAATGCTAAAGAAATAATTAAATATTTCCAGGTCTGACTAAAATTGAGCTATTCTACTAAATCTTAAATAAGAAAAATTATTTTTAATGTAATATGAGAAACTTTATATTAAAAATTAAAATTATTTATCTTTGCAGAGGCAAAAAAATAATTAATTATTTCCAGGTCTGACTAAAATTGATCTTTACTACTGATTCTTAATTAAGAGAAATTATTATTAACAAATATAAATACAGATTAAATATTAACATTTCTTTCTTAAAAATGGTAAAGAACTAATTAAATATTTCCAGGTCTGACTAAAATTGATCTTTACTACTGATTCTTAATTAAGAGAAATTATTATTATTATTATTATTATTATTATTATTATTATTATTATTATTATTATTATTATTATTATTATTATTATTAATTTTTGGCTTTGTATTATTTTTAGTCCGACCAAAAGTGATCTATACTACTGAATCTTAAAAAAGAAAAATTATTATTACTTAAAGAAGCTGCAGGTGAAATATTTAAATTCTTTATCTTGAGAGATAAAAAAATTAATATTTTCATGTCTGCCTAAAATTGACTTATACTACTCATTCTTATTTAAGAGAAATGATTATCAAGAAATAAAATTGTATATTGAATAATAACATTTTTTTTTCTTCATATTGTTTAAAAAAATATTAAAATTTCCAAGTCTGACAAAAAATGACCTATACTACTGATTCTGAATTAAGAAAAATTATTATTAAGATATAAAGCTCTAGATTAAATATTAAATTGTTCATCTTTAAAAATGATAAAAAATAAAATAAATATTTCAAGGTCTGACTTGAATTGACCTATACTACTGAAGTATAATTAAGAAAAATTATTATTAAAAGAATTTGTAAATTTTTTATAAGTCAGATTACAGTCAATAATATTTGTATCTTTAAAATATAATTGCAGTAGAATAAAAACATATATAATTAACACAATTTAAATATACCTACTATTAAAAGGGAAATTGATATCATAAGGTTTCAAAAAATAATATACTTATTAGAATTTATGAAAATAGCAAAGAAATAATAAGAAACATTTTATATAAATATTTTAAAAGTAACTGATGACGTAGGTATATAATTATATTTATCGTGCGTGTATCCATATCGTTATATCAAAATGTCTCATGGGTATTATAGCCCTTAAAAATTTGATGGAATTTTTTTTTCTATATATATATATTTATACCTATATATATATATATATATATATATATATATATATATATATATATATATATATATATATGTTGTTGGAAATATATCCCAAAAGAGTAGTTTTGCAAAATAGATGCTGAGTGTGCTAACGTATAACAGAAAAATACTGTGAACTTAGAAACCAATACTGAATGGGTTACAACTTTCACGTAACGATACACTGCGATTACTTTCTCTCTTTTTCTTTTTCTCTTTTCTTTATTTTTACCTCGCTTTCTCTCTGCTTTCTCGTATAAAGAAAAATCCCTTCTGTCTCTTGGCTTATCCCCTTGTTTTTGTTAGTAACATATAAAGTCCATTTCGTTTATTTTGATAAATTTTTAATTTTTAACAAAAAAAAAATAATTTATCATAACAATTTAAAAAATATTTCGCTGATGAAAATTTATTTTTCACGGAAAATATTATTTTGTGAAACATTTATATTTCGTAGTTTTCCTATAAGGATATCAAATTGAGATTAAAAAAAAACGAATCAAAAGTATTGCTTCGCAACAATTTTGATTTGTTTTTTTTTTTATCTGAATTTGATATCAAAACGTTGCTTCGCGAAACTTTTGATTTGTTTTTTGTCAAAATTTGATATCTGCAGAAAAACTGTGATTATCATACTTATAATTAATTACTATTTATTCTTTTTATACTATTTACTACTATACTATTATTTATTCCTTTACTATTTATTTTATTAGGTACTATTTTACTATTTCAAGGTCTAAATTATAAATATAAAAAAATAAATTTTATAAATTTACTATTTATTATTTGTAAGTTTTTCTTTTAATTATAATGTAATAATTTTTCTTCTAATTTATAAGTTTTTCTTGAAATTACGATCTTTCACGTATATATTTATATATTAATGACTCTTTTAAATTGAATTGAAGGTTGAATTAATTTCGTGAATTTACACATCAAGAATAGATACCAGAATAGTTAATATTATCTTTGGCTTATTATACCTTATACATTACGGAACTATGAACGTGCTCACAGCAACTGTAAAGAAGATGAACGTTAATTGTCTTGCTTCGTTAAGCGAGAAATTGAAACCTACTCGATCTTCTCTTGCATTTATCTCTCAGTTCTTCAAACGAAATGTTTCTAATTTCTTCTCAACTCGTGAACTTGTTATCTACAAAATTTTAATGTCATCAAATAAATTATAAACCTCTATATATATATATATATATATATATATATATATATATATATATATATATATATATATATCGAATATTCTCTCTACATATTATATTTATTATTATTTTTATTTATATTTATTTTTGTTTTTATTTTTTACTTATTTTTTATTATTATCATCAATATTATTATACCTACATAAAATATGTAAAATTAATTTTGCTTCTCATTAAATTCCCAAATACATGATTAATAGCCACAATATATTTTATTGTACAATCAAATATTCGTAAACGATTATCTAAATTGTAGAATTATTATCAGCAATTAGTAGATGTCGATTGAATTTGTGCGACAATATATTGTAATTATTTACTAGTGTTATTGTTATTATAATTATTATTATTATTATTTCAGGTTGTGAAAATGATGATAGTCGTGGTGGTCATCTTTGCGGTATGTTGGTTACCATTTCACATGTACTTTATAATAACGTCATATCTTCCGGAAATCACGACCGCTCCATACGTTCAAGAGATCTATCTAGCCATATATTGGTTGGCTATGTCTAATAGCATGTACAATCCTATCATTTATTGTTGGATGAATTCAAGGTGAGTTTAATCCTAATGAACAAATTTACAATCCATTTTTTTTTATTATTATTATTATTATTATTATAAAAAAATTTTTAAAATCCTTCGAAACAATTCAATTATTTTTTTAACTACTAAAATCTTTGAAAAGAAAAAAAAACTAAAAAAAATAATATATAATAAATAATATTATTTAAATAAATAATAATAAATAACTTAAAATTAATAATAATAAATATTTTTAAAAATACAATAGCTTTCGCCCGACAACGTTGGGCCTCCTCAGATGAGAATTCGAAGTGGATTAATTCCTTCAATTTAAAAAAATATATACATATATAATTTACAAAAAATCTTATTTTTTTCAAAATTTAAAATATCTTTCGAAACAATTGAATTATTCTTATAAATAGTAAAATTCTTTGCAAAAATTAAATTATTTTTAATATTTAATTTTAAAAATATTTCATGAATGAATTCGCAATTTTTTATAAACTTTTAATAAAATTTCACGAAAGAATTCAATTATTTCAAAAAATTTTTAAAAATCCTTCTAAACAATTCAATTATTCTTTTAACTACTAAATAAAATCTTTGCAAAAATTCTATTATTTTCAATATATAAAATTTCACAAAGGAATTGAATTTTTTTCTTAATTCGTTAAAAAAATTTTCAAAAGAATTCAATTATTTTCTAACATTTAAAAAAATCCTTCGAAAAAATTGAATTATTCTTATAAACAATAAAAATCTTTGCAAAAATTCAATTATTTTTCATTCAATTTCACGAAAGAATTCAATATTTTTCTTAATTCGATATAAAATTTTTTAAAAGAAATCAATTATTTTCTAAACTTTTTAAAAATCCTTCAAAAGAATTCAATTTTTTTAAATTTTTAATAAAATTTCACGAAAGAATTCAATTATTTCAAAAAATTTTTAAAAATCTTAAGAAACAATTCAGTTATTTTTTTAACTAATAAATAAAATCTTTGCAAAAATTTAATTATTTTCAATAAAATTTCACAAAAGAATTGAATTTTTTTCTTAATTCGTTATAAAATTTTTTAAGCAAAATTTAAATTATTTTAGAAAATTGTAATAAAATTCTGAGAAAAATTTAATTATTTTATAAAAATTTTAATAAAATCCAATAATTTAATTGTTTAATTTTAATTTAACATTTATTTATTATTTTTATTATATATATTATATATTTATTATATTTATTATACTTTTTCAAATTGTAATTCTTAACTAAAAAAAGAAAATACTTTTTCTTCATCTATAAATTATAAAATAAACGAAGAGTTTATTTTCTTGTTTTTTTTCACTATTTCTATACTTTTATTGAAAAATTTCAAATCTTATATATTTTTATTTTTTTATTCCATTTTTTCCCCTCTTGAGAAAATATCTTAGTTCGTATATATCGAAAAACGGAAGTATAACATAATAAAATCACGATTTTTATATTTCTCCTCGATTATATTGAATTTAAAATATTAGAAATAATATTTATTTATTACTTTACAAGTGCGAAATAAAAGAAAAATATAATAATTTATAGATTTTAAAAATTTCGAAATTTATTTGTCATATTAGAAAATACTTTTTATGAATTCACCTAATAAATCAGTAGAATGTGGCGATTTTAGTCAGACATAATAATTTTTGTTTATTCTATCGAAAAATTTTCATAAATTATTCCAATTATTCGTTTATTGTAAAATTTTTAATTTCCTCAATTTTTATTTTATGGAATTTGTAGAATAATTTTATATAGATGTGTAGTGAAACTTAATTTTTAATCGGACAGGATTTTTTATTTCAATATAAATGAGAAATTATTAAATTACTTCAATAATTGTCTTTTAAAATATTTTTTCTCTTTATTTATAATTTTATGTAATAAAACGTTTTCTATTATTCAGTAGTAAGAGTCGATTACTAGTCAGACAGAATTCTTTTATTTTACATAACTGACAAATCTTTAAATTACTCAAAATTATATTTAAAAAAAAGTTTTTGATTCCTTTATTTTTAGTTGCGCCCTACGTTCAATAAAAATTCTTCTAGAATTCAGTAGTAAAAGTCAATTTAAGTCAGACAGTATTTTTTATTTTAAATAACTAACAAACTTTTAAATTTACTTCACTTGTTTATAAAAAAAATCTTAGTCTTTAATTATGTTTCATTCGTTTAAAAAAAAATTTTTCCAGAAATCAGTAGTAAAAGTCAATTTAAGTCAGACAGTATTTTTTATTTTAAATAACTAACAAACTTTTAAATTTACTTCACTTGTTTATAAAAAAAAATGTTAGTCTTTAATTATGTTTCATTCGTTTAAAAAAAAAAATTTCCAGAAATCAGTAGTAAAAGTCAATTTTCAGTCAGACAGATTTATTTACTTTTATTATATACCTGGCAAATTTATACAAATAAAGAGTGAAAAATCGTTTATTTTTTCTAGAATTCAGTAGTAAAAGTCAATTTCTAGTCAAACAGATTGTTTTCATTTCACACAGCAAACAATTTTTGAAATTACTTAAATTACATTCAAAAAAATATTTTCTTTACTATTTTATACAGTTTTGTTAAATAGAAATTTTTCAAGTTGTCAGTAGTAAGAGTCCGTTTATAGTCAGACACAAAAAATAAAGATAAACGCGAATAATAATAATAATAATAATAATAATAATAATAATAATAAATAATTGTTTTATTGCAGATTTCGTCGTGGATTCGCGCAATTCTTCTCATGGTGTCCATGGGTGCATGTAATGCCGGAACCAACGCTGACGCGATCGGAAGCAGTCACATCGCGATACAGCTGCGCCGGAAGTCCCGATGCACACATTAGGATCTCACGGAACGGTACGTCCTGTTCGTCCTTGGATCATCCTTGCACATCGACATCCTCAACATCTCCCAGGAGTGTGTCATGCCTCGAGCTTGATGTTCTGCTCGGTGATAATCGGCAAAATGAACAGAGTGAATTTGTAACGCGACCCGAATGAAATAACGACGATATTTTTTGACAATCCCTGAAAATCACCTGCACTTGAAAAAAAACCATGAGTACTGTCAACATCATCATCACCATCATCAACATCGTCAACAAAATTTAATTTTTCTCATCAATCGACACTTCCATTTAAACCAAAAAAAAAAAAATTAAACGTATTTATCAAATTTTTTTTGCTTTTTAGTTCTTCTTTTCTTTCTTTCAACTTTTTCTTTCTCTCTTTCCTTTCTTTCGCTTCTTTTCCTCTTTTTTGTTTTATTCATTTTTTTCTTTTTCTTCCTTCGTTCTTTTTTCTTTTTTTCTTTTTTTCTTATTTTCTTTATTTCTTTTCTTCCCTTATTTTTTTTTCTTTCTTTTTCTCCTTTAATTACTTTTTCTTTATTTCTTTTGTTATTTTTCTTTTTTGTAGGGGAGAGTGGGGCAAAATGGGGTAGGCGGGTCAAATGGGGTACCTCTGTTTTTCCATGATAGGTACTTTTAATTTTTTTTATCCTCGACATATATCATTCATGTTGATAAGAAACTGTTATTAATTATGAAGACATTCCAAAGAAAATTTTTTTTTGAAAGTTATACAACTTTTAAGTTTTAAGCCAAAAAAATATGAATTTTTTTCAAAATTAAAGTGCTTACCAAACTTTTTGGGATAATGCATTTAAATTGGCAAGTGTGGGATCTTTTTCAGTACTTATTCTAGAGTAATTTCCAATAGAATAGATTGTTTAATTGTTTACAATAACTTGTAAACATTGCATTTTGTTTTAATATGCAGTGTGGGGCAGAATGGGGTACCTAAGTGTGGGGCATGCCGGATGCTACGCCGTTTCATTAAAACTATTTAAAAACATTATATTATGCATATTTAAAGGTTTCCTGCAGAAGAATCAATATTTTTGCTTTGAGGCATTTATACTATCGATGTTTCATTATCGATATATCGATATTTTGCAATATCCATGTTTTTTTGTTAAATTCTAATAAATATTACTTGTTTTTTCATAATAATGAAGAATCCTACTTTGTGTTTGTATTTATAATCTCATACAACAAGAATTTAATGAATTTTGAAAAAATATTCAATGTTTTGTATAGTTATTTGATGCCACCCCATTTTGCCCCACGGGTGGGCCAAATTGGGATTTTAGCACTTTCTCAGAAAGTACGATATAAGTTCTTTCAAAAATTTTTTTCTCCGCTATTATCATAATTTCCTCAAAGCTAAGTGTACAAAGAAGAATTCTGAAGTTTAGCTGAATCGATTTATTCGTTTGGTTCTCTGTAAACAGACAATTTCAAAAAGGTACCCCATTTTGCCCCACTCTCCCCTATTATTTCCTCTTTTCTTTCTTTCTTATCGTTTTTTATTTATTTTTCCTCTTCTTTCTTTCTTTCGTTCTTTTTTCTGTCTTTCATTCTATCTTTATTTATTTTCTTCCCTTATTTTTTCTCTTTCTTTTTCACCTGTATTTCTTTTTTAATATTACTATTTTTCCTTTATTCATTTCTTTCTTTTTCTTCTTTCGTTCCTTTTTTCTATTTTTCTTTATTTCTTTTCTTCCTTTATTTTTTTCTTTCTCTTTCTTCTTTATTTATTTTTTCTCATTTTCCATTTTCTCTTTATTTCTTTCTTTCTTTTTCTTTTTTATTTTTTCCTCTTTTTTTTCTCGTTTTTTATTTATTTTTTCCTGTTCTTTCTTTCTTTCTTTTCTTTCTTTCTTTATTTCTTTATTTTTCTTCTTTCGTTCTTTTTTCTTTCTTTCTATTTCTTCCTAATTTATTTTCTTCCTTTATTTTTTCTCTTTCTTTTTATCCTGTATTTCTTTTTTCTTTTTTTCCATTTTTTCTTTATTTCTTTCGTTCTTTTTTTTCTTTCCGTCTTTTTTTCTATTTTTCTTGATTTCATTCGTTCTTTTTCTTTTTTTATTTTTTCCTCTTTTTTCTTCTCGTTTTTTACGTATTTTTTCCTCTTCTTTCTTTCTTTCTTTCTTTTGTTTCTTTCTTTATTTCTTTTCTTTCCTTATTTCTTTCTTTCTTTTTCTTCTTTATTTATTTTTTCTTTTTTTACATTTTTTCTTTATTTCTTTCGTTCTTTTTCATTTTTTTTATTTCTTCACCTTTTCTTTCTTTCTTCTCGTCTTTTATTTATTTTTTCCTCTTCTTTTTTTCTTTCTTTTGTTTCTTTCCTTTGTTTCTTTGGTTTTTTCATTCTTCCTTCTCTTATCTTATTTACATCTTTTTCCTTAATTTTTTTCTTTTTTTACATATTTTTATTTCTTTTACACATTTCTTTCTTTTTTTCTCTACTTTCTCTCTTTTTTAATTTTATTTTTCATTTATTCCATTCGTTATTTCTTTTCATCTTTTCTTCTTTCTTTTATTTATTTTCTTTTCATCTTTTTTTTATTTATTTCTTTCCTTCTTTTCTTTCTTTTCTTTTTGTCTTTAATTCTTTACATTCTGCTTTCTTTTCTTCTTTTCTTTAATTCTTTACATTTTTCTTTCTTTCTTTCTTCTTTTCTTTTTTCTTTACTTTATCCACATTTCTTTCTTTTTCTCTTTTTATTTTAATCTTTCTTTTCTCGCCTTATTTTTTTCGTTTCTTTGTTTAATTCTTTCTTCTTTTTTTCGTTTTTTAGTTATTTTCTTCCTTCCTTTTCTTCTTTCTTTCTTTATTTTTCCTTTTTCTATCTTTTCATATTTTTTTCTTTTTCTCTTTCCTTGATTTTTTGATTTATTCTTTATTTCTTTTTTTTCTCTTTTTCTTTAATTCTTTTCCTCTTTCTTTATTTTATTCTTTCTTTTTTCTCCGTTATTTCTGTCGTTTCTTTGTTTCTTTCATTTTATTTTTTTCTTCTTTCATTCTTTCTTTCCTTTCTGTTCTTCATTAGGTACGTCTTTAATTTTTTTCTTTCTTATTTTTTTTCTATATATTCTCCTTTCTTTTTTACAAATTTCCTTTTTTTCTTCTTTCTTTCCATTATTTTCTGTTTTTTATTTTACTATCATCTCTTTAAATTTGAATTAGTAAAAGTGTTTACTAATTTGAATTAGTGACCGACTTTTTTCTTTATAATTTGTAAATTTTGCTGGTAAATAAGTAAAAATAACTATTTTGTAATGACATTTTACTAAGAGAATAGTAAAAATTACTATTTTGTAATTAAATTTTAGTAAGAAATTAGTAAAAATTACTATTTATTAGTAAAAAATATTAATTTTTACTTATAAAAAATTAAATTATAAAATTAAACTAAAATTAAAGTTTACTAAGAAATTAATAAAAATTACTATTTTGCAATGAAATTCTAGTAAGAAATTAGTAAAAATTACTATTCACATATTAGTAAAAAAAAACTAATTTTTACTAATAAAAAATTTAATTATAAAATTACACTAAAATTAAAGTTTACTAAGAAATTAATAAAAATTACTACTTTGTAATAAAATTCTAGTAAGAAATTAGTAAAAATTACTATTTATTAGTAAAGAAAATTAAATTTTACTAATAAAAAAATTACATTATAAAATAAAACTAAAATTCAATTTTAGTAATTAAAAAATTAAATTATAAAACTAAAATTAAATTTTACTAATAAAAAAATTAAATTATAAAATTAAACTAAAATTAAAGTTTACTAATAAATTAGTAAAAATTACTATTTATTAGTAAAATTTACAAATTCAAAAGCAAAAAGTCGGTCACTAATTCAACTTAGTAAATATTTTTCCTAATTTAAATTTAGAATGTTCTCTTCTTTACTTCTATTAAATATTATATCTTTCTTTATAGCTTCTTTATTTCTTTTCTTCTTTTTCTTAATTTACTTGTTTCCAACGTTTTTTTCCTCTTCATTTAACATATTTCTCGGAAACAAAAAATCTCTTTGTTATAATATTAAAAAAAAAGTGACACACTTTTCTGAAATATTTAAATATTTGTCTATGTTTATATACTAAAGAGGCAATTGAAGCATTTTTCATTATCTTCAATTTAATATCTTTCTCTCGCAATTTTTTATTGAAAACTCTATTCAACTTCTCGACAAAATGAAAATCTAAAAATGACAATATTTTTTATCACAATAATCATTGTTTAATTGACAAATTTTTATTTTATTTCTTGTAAACTAAAATTCTTGGAATTCCATCTAAATTGAAAAATAATTCCAAAAATATTCGTTTTATTAAATTAAATTAAAAAATAATTTCCAAAAATATTCTTTTTATTAAACTAAATTTCAAAGTAATTTCAACAAAAAACTTTTATTAAAAATGAGTTTTGAAAAACAATTCTCCTTTTTAAATCTAAATTGAAGAATAATTTGAAAAAAAAGTTTCCACTGAATTTGTAACCTGAACTTAAATATATTTCCGGAAAAAAATTTATTAAACTAAATTCAAAAGTAATTACAAAAAGAATTCTTATCATTACACTAAATTAATTTGCTCTAAATTCTTTTTGAAATAGAAAAAAATTTACAATTACAATTTACAATACAAAAAATACAATGAAAAAATGCGAAAAAAAATACAATATAATTACAAAAATGAGAAAGAAGAAAAATTAAAATTGGAAAAATTGAAAAATTGAGAAAAAAATTATTACAATTTTTAGATTTTCAGAAGAATTTTGCCAGTCTAGGTTATAATTAAGAAGATTTTTTACATTTCTTTTAAGGTAACGTACGAATTCCTCGATCTCGTGGCAGAAAATGGAGAAACGCTCATCATCCAGGTCATGTTTCCTGACAATTAGAGGACTCATCGCAAGAACAACGAGTTCACACTTGGATATAATTTTTAAAAAAAGAAGAAAAATTTACTATAGCTATAATATATCTTTCACGCTGATCGACTTCATGTTCAATAATAATAATAATAATAAAAAGAAAAAGAAAAATTTTTTCTATAATAAAGCTCGAGAAACAATTTATATAGAAATTAATTGCGAAAATCTATATAGTATATATTTATAATCAACCTGCAATAATATAATTAATCCTTTCATAAGTGTCTCTATAAAAAAATTTGCTCTTATTTGTAATTAACAAAAGAAATAACAATTATTATGTTTTAAATTTTTATATAGTTTTTAGACTGTTTATAATACGTATTTTATTTATAGTTTCAATTAATATCATAAAAAAAAATTTCTAATTTATTATAATTTTATTTTCTTTATTAATACAAATTATTCGAGGATTTAGTAGTAAAAGTCCATTTCTCGTCAGGCAATACTTGATTTATACAAGTGAAAAATATTTACTTAAAGTGTCTTTGAAATTTTTTTGTTCTTTTATTTGTTTTGTTTAATAAAATTTCTTATAGAAATCAGTAGTAAAAGTCAATTTCTAGTCGGACAGAACTTGTTTTTATATAATTTCTGCAATTACTTGAATTATATAAAAAATTCTTATTACTTAAATTGTATTTGAAAATTTTTTTGTTCCTTTATTATTTATTGTTTAGTATAAGTCAATTTCTAGTCGGACAGAATTTTTTATTTTAAAAAACTGACGAATATTTTAATTACTTAAATTGTTTTTAAAATATTTTTATTCTTTATATTTACAGTTTTGTTTAATTAAACTTTTTTCAGGATTCAGTAGTAAAAGTCAATTTTTAGTCAGACAGAATCTTTCATTTGAAATAGCTGACAAACTTTTAAATTTCTTAAATTGTCTTTAAAAATTTTTTATTCTTTATTTATGATTTGTCGAATTAAAATATTTTTTTAGAAATAAGTAGTAAATGTCAGTCTATAGTCAGTCAAAAATATTATACGCGCCTATAATTCGAAAATAAAAAATTAAAGTTTCAAGACATTAATTATTTTGAGAATATTGTTGTAAAATTTTATATTCGCAGTAGTAAAAATCAGTATTGGTCAGACGATAAAAAATTATTCATATGTTAACAAGAATTTTTTGTATCTTAAAAATTACATTACTTAACACAATTTTTTATCAGTAGTAGAAATCAGTTTTTGTCAGACATAATTTTTTCAAAATAATATTTCACTCTAAGTAGTAGAGGTAGTTTTTGGTCAGACGGCATTTTTTCAAATAAATATTATTGCACTCTAAGTAGTAGATGTTAATGATAGTCAGACATATAGTTTTTTACGTCCAAGTAGTAAAAGTCAGTTTATAGTCAAACATTTAATTTAATTTAATTTTTTTCAATATCCGGCTTTTGTTCTAAAAAGAATATTGACATTAAATAGAAAATAATATAATGCTTGTAATTTATTTTATTTTTATATTTATAATTTTATTGTTATTATTACGAAAATTAATATTATTGCAGGTTGAGAAATTCATTCATTTACTTTTTCAATTTTATTGTGAAAAAATTCCTCAAAACTTAACGAAAATTTTTTATATTTATTTATTTCTATTTCTATTAAATTTTTATTATAATTCATAATTTTCCTAAATAAAATACTAATATTACAAATAAATAAATAATAAATAGAAATCACTTGAAATTATAAATGATTTCAAACGATTTCAATCAATTTTGCAAACTAACAAAAAAAAAATTTATCACTCGATATACAAAGTAAAAATATGTTTTCAATTTATTTTGAAAATTGTCAAAAAAAAAAAGAATAAAAAATAATAAGAAAATAAAGTTTATTTATAAACTAGTAATAAAATATAGGTATTTCTATGTAAAATTACAAAACTTGTAATTTTCCATCGGCTGAGCCGTCTGTTATACATTATAATAGATAAATATTTAATAAGAAACGAATTTAAATATTTATACAATAAATTATTATATTATTAACTTATTGAAAAAAAAGAATCTTCGAACGAAAGTTTCATACAGCGTCGCAAAACTCATAAAGTTAAAAATATTTCTTTACTATAAAAAAAATGGGGGAAAAAATATTATTATCTATTTCTTTTTGCATAATTATTTTATTGTTTTTTTTTAATTTATTAAAAATTTGTTAAAAATCTATTCAAAAATTTATTTAAAATCTTTTTAAAATTTTATTAAAAGAAGGAATTTTATTTAAAAATTGATTTTTCAATTTTGTTTTATTAAAATTGAATATAGCGTGCCTTTAATTAGTTTTGCAAATTTATTTCAATAAGTAAATAATTCAACATTTTCTGTGATTGGCTTTTATTAGTTAAGTTTAATATTAATTTATTTTAATAAAAAAAATTTTATTAATAGAAAAGTTCTCTGTTTCTTTAAATAAAAAAATAGTTTTATGTGTCTATGTAGAGAAGATGAGATAATTATATTTACTGTTACTAAATATTTCAATATATATTTAAATATGTTGCGCTACTTTTTTTATTTTATTTTTACGTTTATCAATAGTTGAGAAAAAGAGAAAGAAAAATATCTTTATGTATAATTTATAAAGAAAAAAATGTATTTTTATAATTTATAAAGAAAATACGTCTATTATAATTTACGAAGAAAAATTGTTTTTATAATTTATAAAGAAAAAATATTTCTTTTCATAATTTAAAAAACAAGCGAAATGTGAATATTATTGACTTTTCTTTGCAACTTGACCCGAATTATATTTTATTCGTTATGAAAAAATCATTCAAGTATAACTTTGAATTCTAACGAGAGAAAAAAAAAGTAATTTTTCAATATTAATGTTAAAGAAGAAAAATTCAATGGACCAATAACTTATGTAACACGTTATTGCAGACGCTGAATTAAATAAAATAGTATTGAATACTGTATTTTCTAAGGGAATAAACTTGATAACAATCAATGTTACATGAACACTGTACTATATGTGTACATATGTATACATTAAAAATGTACATATAAATACAATATATTAGATAATAAAATTAGATATAGTTCCATATTCCGATATTTTACAATTTATCAACAAATTTCAAACACAATTAGTTAATAAAAATAAATAAATCTCTAAGATTTAAAATTTTTTTAAATTGTTTTTGTTTTCGTATTCTTTTACGAATTAAACAATAAAAAGATAATTAAAAAAAACAAAACAATTAAAGACATTTGAAATACTATTAAAAAACACTTTCAATACAATTGAAAAACAATTGAAATACAATTGAAAAACAATTCAGAAAAATCAAGAGCTTACAGACTATAATAAAATTCCAGAGAAAAATTTTAATTTAAAACAAATCTGTTACTATCTATGAATATAATTAAAATTATATTAAAAATCCATCAAAATAGTAAATAAAAAAAAAAATTTTTTCTAATTCAGAATAATAAATTTAGACTAGAAATTGAGAATTGAAAAAAAATTGAAAAAAGTTTTTTGAAATAAATAAACGCAAAAAAAAATAATAAGGAAAACATTTCTGATAAATTTGTTTTTCCGTAGCATAAAAAGAAAAATAATTCATTAATAAATTCTTTTTTATACGCAGATTTAAAATCAAAAAAATTTTAATATTTCTTTTTATAAACAAATATAAATTAAATGCGACAATTTTTTTTTGTGAAAAAGAACAACTATAGATAATTATATATATAGAAAATTAGAAGACATTTTCTGATATATTATGAAAATTCATATTTGATACTGACTTGGATATAAATTCTCAGCTAATATTGTGGAGCGAAAATACTCTGGGAAAACCAAACGCTTTCTAAATACGTATATGTATAAATGAATGTATAAAAAAAAATTAATAGCGTTAAGAAATTGTATAACTCCGTGTACGTAAATGAAGATAAATGTATGTTTGTACAATTCTTTCTTAAATATTCCCGCACTAACCATGAATCCTGTTCAAAAAAAAGATTTTTTAAAATTAAATGGCAGAAACGTTGAAATTAATTTTAAATTATAGGTTTTAATTTTTGCACTTTTATTTTAAATTAAAAAAAGTTATTTTAAATGAAATTTTTAAATTTTTTCTAAAATAAAATTGTTAATTTTTTACGAATTAAATAAATTAGAGAGAAAGAACGAAAATAAATTAATAAAATTATAATTTGTAGATATATTAATAGTATGTTTAAATTGATTTCAATTTTTATTTATACCTTATTAAAAATCTCTTCAATTTGTTAATTTTTGATTTATGGTAATAGTGAAATTTTCAGTCTTCCTCTGGTATTATTTACTTGTTGCCAAGCTTCCATGGTCAATGTCGTTGGATCCATTTTGTCCGTATATAAGTGTCCCTGTTGAAAAGAAATTGAATTAGTAAACAAATTTTATAATTTTTATTAAAAGAGAAATTCTTTATTCAGGGTTGCCAAACAAATTTGATTTTGTTTTTCTCTGATTTCCAGAAAGAATTTTTATTTTTTTTCTGAAAGTCGATCCGAAGACTGAAATTAATTGTAAAATTATACGAAACAACGATTTTAGATAAATATTTTATTATTTATTTTTTTAAATGTGAATTAAGATTTTGAAATTTTTTTAATTTCAATACAAAACGCTTTCTTTCATTCTTACAAAAAAAATTTCAAAATAAATTCGATAAATAATAAAAAAAATTTCTACTCTAACTTTTCGAAAATTTATTTTCTACATTTCAAATTCAATTATTTTCTAGAATATTGAACTAACATTCTTTTGTAAATTAATTAATTTTAATTATTTTTTGAGAATTAAATTATTCAGATTTATGAATTTTTGAATATTGGAAAATTTTTCAATTAAATATATATTCAAAAATTCATCAAATTTCAAAAAAACTTGATTACCTACAAAATTAAAAAAAAATTAACTAGTTTAGAATTTTTAATTAAAATTGTTTACAATTAAAATTTTTTAAAATTTCAGTTTAAAACGGTTAGAGTTTCAATTATTTATAAAAATTGTAAAGCCAGCTCTACTAAAATATAATTATTTTTAGAATTTTTAGATAAGTTAAAAATACGGTAGATTCAAATTTTCAAAGATTTTAATTTGAAACCTTTTCAAAATTGAATTATTTTTAAAAATTCTTGCTTTAATGCTTTTAATATTCAATTATTATCTAAAATTTTAACTAAAATCCATTTTTATATTAATTTTTATTAGAAAATTCTACGAGAATTCAATTATTTAAATACAAAAATAATTAATTTATTGAATAATTGAATGTTTCTTAAAATTTAATTTTCATAAAGAATTTTATCAACAAATTTTTAAATAATTGTATTCTATTGACGAATTTTAATAACATTTCTAAGAATAATTATATTTCTCGAAAAATTCGATTATTAATTATTAATTCTATTAAAAATAAATTTAAACTTAAATATTAAGAATTATTAAATATTAATTAATTATTAGATAAATATTATTATTAAATATTAAGAATTTAAATTCTGCAATGAATTTGATTCTCTATAAAAATAATTGAATTCCTAAAAATAATTTTATTATTTATGAAAAATAATTGAATCACTGTAAAAAATTTATTATTTATGAAAATAATGGAATTATTGCGAAGAAATTTATAAAAAATTTGTAAATATAATTAAATTCCTGTGAAATTTTTATTATATTATTATTTATGAAAATAATTAAATGTTTGCGTAGAATTTTATCAATTTGTTTAAAAAATAATTGAATTCTTTTGGAAAACTTTATTAAAATACCTTAAAAATTATTTTAGGAACATTTTTGAAAAAAATTAAAAATTTGTCAAGAATTTTATTATAATTTTTGAAAAAAATTGAAAATTTGCCAAGAATTTTATTATAATTTTTGAAAATAATTTAATTTCGGAAAAGGATTTTATTACTTTTGAAGATAATTGAAAGTTTGACGAGGATTTTTTCAAATTTTTGAACATAATTGAATTTCTATCAAGAATTTTATTACTTTTGAAAACAATTGAATTTCTGCAATCATTTGCAACTTCTCCAAAATTCAATTTTTTTAGAGTCTTTAAATAAAATTCTCCTATAAATCCATTATTTTTAATAATTAATTAAATATACATTAAAAAATGTAACTAAGTTCAGAAGAATTTGAATTATTAGTATTTTTCAAAAATCTAAGTTCTTTAAAATTTCTAATTACCTAAATTCATTCAAAATTAGAATTTTTTAAAATTTCAAATTAAAACCTTTTGAAGTTTATCTGTTTATGAAAATTATGAATGCAAATCTTTTCAAATTCAATTAATTTTCAAATATTCAACTAAAATTATTCATTAAATAATTTCCAGACCTGTGGCAACCCTGTAAATATATTAACTAAAAAAAATACAAATAAATAAAGAGAGAGAAAGAAAAATATTAAAAGAAAAGAATAAAATTACTTTTAAATGATCCACTTCGTGTTGAATGATTCTAGCCGTCCAATCTTTTGCTTGCCAAGATACAGTTTCTCCAGAAGGATCTAAACCCGTTATTAAAACTTCCTTAAAACGTGGAACATCCGCCACGAAAAGTGCTGTGCTCACACATCCTTCAGGACACATAATTTTACTGTGATCAATAACTTTTATTTCGGGATTAATAAAAATTTTCAATGGAAATGCTTCGATTTTATGTGTTTTCCTTCTCGTTGGACCAGCAATTCTAGATTGTCTTTCAGTAATTTCAGCAGCAAATATTTGCAAAGGAACACCAATTTGTGGCGCAGATAGACCACAAGCATCGTATAATCTCATAGTTTTTACTAAAACTTTAATTATCTAAAAAGCAAACAATTAGTTAATATTTAATCAAATTTTTCAGTTCGGATTCTTTAAATTAAATCAAATCAAAACCCTTTAACTTAATTTAATTTTAATACATATTTTATTTAATATTTAAGGGAGCATTATTTCATTTTATATAAAAAATATACTTACATATTGAATTTCTTTCGAAGGAATTGTTTCTGGTGCTACTCGTTCTGTTGGTTGTCGAAGAACTGGATCTCCGATTTGACAAACGTGAAAATATGGAGGTGACACTTCATTTGGTTTTAAATAATTTCTCATCATGTGCTTAAATGCCCGCAAAGGTCGATTCATTGTGAAAAGTAGAGAATAATCTTTCCGTAATTACAATTACTTTTTTATCAATCAAGTTTTTTTGTTTCAAAAATTTTTCTCCTGTAAAAATTCATTTACAAATTTCATTACAGGAATTTATTTACTTTGTAGTATATAATTGTAGATGATTTATTAAACATTGTCAAGAATTACACAATTTCTATCAATTTTAATCTCATAAACGTTTAAATAAACAAATCGAAATCGAACCATGTGGATAATTCATTTTTTTTAACAAATAATTTATCTATTATTAAAAATGCAAGGAATCTGTTAAATAAACATATACGAACCAATTAAATCTTTTAATTATGAGCAATTCCTGACTTTTATTTAAATTTGTATAAAAGTTATGTCTTTTTTACCTTTTTTTACTTTAAGTGCTTTAAGAATAAAATTTTTAGGTTAGGTTAATAATAACATAGCAGACGACGTCGACTTTTAATCAGTTGTGATCAGTCGATAAAGTAGATTTGTTGCGGGAAATTTTGAAATCATAATTCGACAAGTTGGCAACCATGACCATGGCAACATAAAAACAATAACATAACAACTTTCTTGTTTCTTTTCTTGTTCTCTAAAAATATTGTGGTGATAGTTTAAATACCTAACAAATTAAAATAACATATTTTCTCGATAGAAAATAAAAGCTTACGCACTAAATCATTATAAATAAATAAAACCAACAAAGTAGGTGCGTAATTATTATAAGCATATTTCAAAAACAGGTTATGTGTGGAAATGCCAAAATATTATTGTGACTATTGTGACACATATTTGACGCACGATTCGCCGAGTGTCAGAAAAACTCACTGTCAAGGACGAAAGCACAAGGACAATGTTAAATATTTCTATCAAAAATGGATGGAGGAACAGGCACAACAACTTATTGATGCAACAACAGCAGCATTCAAAGCTGGTAAAATAGCATCAAATCCATTTGCTGCAAATAAAGGTGTTGCAATTCCGCCACCTCCAAATTTACAACCAAGACCTGGTGTCCCACCTCAATGCCCGCCGATGATGCCACCGCCAGGTATGCATCCTGGACCACCAATGATGATGGGCCCAATGCCACCGATGATGGGAAGACCGCCAATGATGCCGCCCATGGGACCAATTGGTCACATGATGGGCCCAATGAGACCTCCACACATGACTGCCCCAAGGCCCAATGCCTCTTAAAAAAAAAATAAATCCTATTAAATGTAGTGTGTGACGAATATTTAAAAAAATAATTGTAAGTGTTGTTTGCCTATGTTCCTCTTGGTCGTCTAACGTGTAGTTTCATTATACTAATAAATGTATTTTTTAATTAATATAAAATTTAGATTTTTACCAATTTTCAAACGTAATCTAGTCGCTGTTATGATAACGTTAATTATTATTAGTTTTAAATAATTTAATTTGTTTATTAAAATATAATGTCCTTGGAGTTTCGAACGTTCTTATTAAGGACAATTCTTTTAATACTTCGTTTAAATTCTAATTTTGTTGAAAAGAAATATTTTTGGTAACTAAAAGAGTAATTTTTCACTAAGTAATTAATTAATCATTTTTACTAAATAATTGCTTAATAATTTTTACTAAATAATTATTTAATTTATAATTTTTTACTAAATAATTATTTAATTTATTATATCTCTAAACTTTCGAAAGTTTAAATGAACGACGATATTTTATTGCTTCTTTTAATTTGAATTTTATTTACAAAATATTTTTCATATTTAGAAATTAATTTTTAACTAATTAAATGTTCAATTAAAATATTTTTCATGTTTAGTTGAGTTTTGTAATTTTTAAAAATATTGTAACACAGAAAAATATTTCTTTCATTTGATAACATTCAAAAATTGGAAAATTAACTTACATGTTAGTAAAAAGTCAGTAAAGTCAGGGAATTGACAGGAAAAAAAATTTTTTTCAGGGAAATTAAGAAAATCGAGACCTTTTTCGATTTATTTTCAAAAAATTGCGACTTTTTCGACTTTTCTTACAAATATTGCAACAAAATATCACATTTTTTAGTATAAAATGCAAATTATTTCAATTTTTATAGTGTAAAAAATAACTTTGTATAAACAAATCTTTCAAAAATTATTCTTGAATCATTTTTTTTGATATTTAAATTTTTCAAATATATCTAAAATAAAAATCGTTTTAAATAATTGGAATTTTGTAAAATTTAATTGAAAATAATTAATTTTTTTCAAGTATTTATTGTTACAATTTTTAAAAATCAACTCTTGAAGAGTTTTAATTCAAAATTTTGAAAATAATTGAATTATCAAAAATTTTAATTAAAAATCTTTAAGTGTAAATTTAAAAATAAAAATTAGCTTCTAATTTTTTAAAATTCAATATTTTTAGTATTTTCAATTATACCTATATTTCTGAAAATCCTAATATATACAAAAAATAATAATATTTTAGAATTATTTTTAACATTTTTGGGGAAAAAAATTATGTTCAAAATTTTTAATTAAAATTCCTCAAGAAATTAATTAGTTTTTTTAAATTATACAAAAATTCTTTTAAGAAATTCAATTATTTTCGTAAAATTACATTAAAATTATTTAAAAACTAATTCTTAAAATTGTTTTATGTAAATTTTTTAAGATTCAATTATTTTCGAACAAAATAAATATTGATAAAAATTTACTTTTTTAGATTTTTTAAAATTTCGGATTGTTATAAATAAAATTCTTCAAAAATTCGATTATTTTTATTTATATTTTTCAAAACTTCAATTATTTTTAATAGATTTTATCAAACAATTGTTTGGAAATTTTTCAATTGTATATAATTAAAAAACTATTATCTTTAAAAAATTATTTAAAAATATTTAAAAAAATTAATTGCAAGAATTTCTTTATTATAATTTTTTGAAAATATTATTCCTTAATAGCTTAAGAAAATTTCAGAAATTTGGAAAATTAATTTAATTTAGTTATATTGCAGTAATTTTCGATAATATTCCAATAAAAAACAGTCTCGTTCATTTGAACGTTCAGAAATTTGAAAAAATATAATTTATTTTTACGTTTATTCCAGTAATTTTTGAGAATATATATTATATATAATATATTTTTTCCATAAAAAACAATTTCTTTCATTTGAACGATCAAAAATTAAAAAAAGAAAATTATAAGTATTTTATTAAAAAAAGTAAATAAATTAAAAAAATTAAAATCAATCTTTTAATTTTTCCGAAAAAAGAACAACAAACCAATTTTATATATATTTTTCCATTTATTTGATTTCACAAAATCAATATATACAAGTATCTCTGAAAACTTTTATTTTAGCCAATACTTAAATAATTAGTTGAAATCAAAATTTATTTCTAAAAATCTACATGCATACTGAACATTTTTTGTTTCCTTGTATAAATTCGAAATTACAAAGTAGAATATTAACTTTAAATTGTAAAAAAAATTGAACTCTTATACAATTCTCTCTAACATAATATTAAATAATGAAAAGTAATACAGATTGTTTTTGTTTTTAATATCATACTTCATTTTTTTTTTCTTAATTACTATTCTTAATCATGGAAGTATAATAATTGACTTCCTATAGAATTAATATTCTTTATTTCAATAATAAAGAATTTTTTAAAGAATTTTAAGAACTTGCAAGAAAGTCTCTGAAAATAAATTTTTTTCCTTTATAATAAATTTGTTATACTTTAATTAATTTATTTTTTAATTACTAATTATTCACCCCTTTTTTAACTATTCAATTAAATTCACCTTTTTTAGTACTTAAATTAAGTTCACCTTATTTATTTACTAAAAATTAATTTTACCTTTTTTATTAAAATTAAATACACTTTTTTAATTATTAAATTAACTTCACTTTTTTGAATTAAGTTAAATTTTTTTTTTTTTTTTGAATTAAATTAAATTCACCCTTTGTTTTTAATTATTATGCTAAGTTCACCCATGTTTTAATTCTAACAACGATTTTCACATTTCTTTCGACAAAAATATTGCTACTTATATTTTTTTCCATTACGAGAGTCCAATAGTAATCAAACTTTAATAAGTTTGAATTTTTGAAATTAAAAAAAGCAACTTCATACAATAATTCGATAAATTAACTATAAGTACATTTATTCTTTTTTTATTTTTTTTCCTTATTTATCTATATTACAATTCTAATTCGTATGAAATGAATAATTCAATCTATTCATTTATTGAAGAAATATAAAGTGAACTCTATTTATTTTCCGAGACTTTCTTTTTTTATTCGTACTTAAAAAAAAATTATTTTCCGAACTTTTTATTACTTTTATTACTAATTTTTAAGATATGTAATAAAAAAGTAAAAGTCAAATTTTCGAAATAAAAAAAAGTAACAACTCAGTTCTTTTTTTTTTTAATCCTTTAGAATTTGTGGGTTTTCTTTTGTTTAAAATTCTTTTAGAAAAAATTAAATTCCCCGTTTTGGTCGTTTACTATTCCAATCGTCTCGCATATTCTTTCGTTTTCCTCGATTAAAATCATTATCCCAATGCTGATTATTAGAATTCATAAAATTATGCGGATGCATATCGTCATCAAATGACATTCGTGAATTATTGAAATTTGAAAATGACATATCACCTGAATTTCGATTCATTGAATTATTTCGATTCGAAAAATTATTCGAACCACTGAAATAATTTTGTGAAGAGCCGGCAAATTCAGACGATGACGACGACCATAATGGACGACGTGAATTAATTTGTGATTGAAAATTACCCGAATTATTCGAGGGGAAATTCTGTTGATTACGCGGCATATCAAAATATTGTTGGGCAAATAAACTTCTTGGTTGATTTAATTGAAAATTATTATGACGTGATGAATTTTCATGGGGGAAATTCTGATTTCTTGAATTAAACATTAATTGACGATCGTTGGGGGGGAAATTTTGCGATCGACCCATTTCCTGATTTCTCATATTGCTTTGCATTAAATTCTGATTACGTAGACTGTTTAGTAAGAATTCGTGATTATTCGATTGACCACTTTGATTGCGTTGTTGCATTCTGTTTGCGTCGAAAAATTGATCTGAATTGCGTTTTCGTTGATCCGATCTTCTTCGAGATCGTGAATTTCTCGATTGATTCGAGTTCGAGTTCTTTTCATTACGCGAATTTTGACTGGGTAAATTTCTTTGATTATTTCTTGGATTTTGGGCATTTCTCGGATTTTGGGGATTTCTTGATTGATTTCTGGCGGTGTCGTTGTTTTGCTGATTGGAAATGTTTTTTCGACGTGGACGTGGACGGGGGCGAGTTCGTTTATTTTGATTTCGTGATGTTGCAGTTTCGGGTGTTTCCTGATTAGTCGTTGGATTTGGTTGGGTTGCGTCATTATTGACGGGAATTGTTTCATTTGGAGTTCGTTTTTTCGCTGGTGAACCACCTTGAGTCTGTTGTCGTTTATTTGTCGAATTTCTTACATTGGGCTGATTTCTCTGTCCGATGGGATTTCTGGGCTTTCTTGCATTTTGTACATTCTGTCGAATGGAATTCTCCCTTTGATTTGGAGGGTTTTGTCGATTATTGCGGGGAAAGCGATTATTGAATTGATTTCGAAGATTATTTCGTGGTTGGGATGATGTTTGGGGATTTCGTTGGTTCTGGGGGGGTTTTGAATTTGGGGGATTTTTCTGATTTTTCTTGTAATAGGGTCGGCGATTTCTTCGGTAGGTCTGTCGTTTCTTTGGGACGTTTTTCTTCTCGGGTTCGGTGGGTTTTTCCGTTTCTGGCGATTCCTTGTTTTTTGCTTTAATGGGAGGCATTTCGAATTCGGCGAAAGTATTTGCATTATCACCGTCTTGTAAATTCTTTTTTGCGAAGGGATTGATGACGGTTAATTTTGACTTTTGACCACATGGCGGTATGACTAATGGGGGAGAATCGGGTAAAGTTAAATTCTTCATGGTCGCGTACTTTTTTACCAATTCTTCCAATTCTTGAGGTAGATACGGGGTGAATATCATATTATAACAATAAATCACATAGAGATATTGTTTCACTGTAAAACCGGAACTTATTTGTAGAGAAAAATACAAATCACGAAACTTTGAAAGGAGTTTACTGTCACCATCACTTTCACAATTTTCTTTATACAACAACATCATGAGATTGAGTAATTTATTATCGAGATTTCTATACGCTTCTAAAAATGCCTCTTCTTCGCTTCTTAGACCCTCCTTTCCTCTATATTCGGGAACTAATGTTTTTATTTCCTCGTAAAGTGTTACAATATCTTCCTTTAGATTTTCTATTTCGTGAAATTTTCGTGCTAATATCGACAATGTTACTTCTTTATTTCTAGTTAGTCCTTCACAAAATATTTTATCCTTATCCTCATCGTTGCGTCTCAACCAGAGACAAATAATGTCCTTTAGTGATTCTCCACCTTTGCCAACGAATCTAAACGTTATTTTCAATTTTCCATCCGTTAGTCGAGAGAGAGTGAATTTGAATTTGACCTGCAAACTGAGATAATTAAGAAAATGTGGTACGTGCGTACCGGCGTTTATACCGTCCGTAATTGCTCCTTCGACCTCCTCAACCTTTACAATCGTTCTTTTCGTATTCGCTGTCCTGTGCGATGGAGATTTAACAACATAAAGAATTTCCTCGTCCGGTAGAGGAGCTTCTAGAGATGCATTATTATCCACCTTGATTTTTGCCTCACAATTCGCTAAATCTACATCTTCGGTAAAATTGACATCACTCGAGGAATCATTAACTTCTGTACAATACTTGGAACCAATTGGCCATCCGTACTTGTCACAATTTACATTTTTTGAATTTTTATTTCCACGTTTCTGATTGCGATTCGTTTTGTCCTTTTGCTGTGAATCTCCTCCTTGAATTTCTTGCTCGACATTGGAATCGTCTTCTACTTTTAAACTTGTGTCTGCATCAGCCACCAAAGATTTATCTTCAAGATTACATTCTGAATTCGGTTGAGGCTCTTCATTCGATTCGATATTTTGCTCCACTACTGGTTCTTCTACAGGAATTCCTTCCAGAGGAATTTCAGATTCCGTAGGACAAGATTGTATTTCATTTTCATTTTGCGTTACATTTTCATCTTTTTCTGCTATATTTTCATCGGGTTGATTTTCAAAAAATTGGTTTTCCCCATTGACTTGATTCTCACTTTCATTAGATTGCTTCTCTTCATTAATTTGGTTTTCATTTTCATTCACTTGGTCCTTATTTTCATTACATTGATTTTCATTTTCATTTAATTGATTTTCATTTTCATTTAATTGATTTTCATTTTCAGTAATTGGAACATTGTTAACAATCTCTTCACCTTTATTGCTTTCCTGAAATATAATACACAAATTAAAATTCAGTAAGTGACTTTATTCTAATAATCTGTCAACACTATTATATAAATTTCATAAATGTTCCTTGATTTCATTATAATACCAAATAAATTAGAATTTAGGAAATAATTTCGCTCTTTTAATTTATAAATAAAGAACATTATTCATAAACTTTAAGAGTTTAATAATTTTTTGACATATTTGTCATTAGCGTCATTAGATTTTGTTTTTGAGGTTAAGTTTGTAAAATATTCGCATTGTCAAAATTTCTCTAGCATCATAAGAAAAAAACTCAATAAACAAATAGTGCTTATTTACAGAAATTTATTAACATTTTTCCGAAAGAAAAAACAATTACCCTTCATTTATTATACAAACAAAGTAAATATACTCACGTCTTGAAATTTTTCACCTTCAGCTTCAGTTGGATTTGTTTCTGTACTTTCAACAGTTTCCACAGTTTGCACAGTTGCCACAGTATTCTCAGAAGTATTTTCTTGATTCATTTTACTTTAAACACCTAAAATTTAAAAAGAAAACACTAATTTAAATATGAAATAATTAAGTCAATAATATAGTTTTAAATACATCTATATAACAGATCAAGATGCATTTTGCCACAATACAAACAATCAAATATTCACGTTAAAAACAAATTGAATTTGTAAAATAATTTTTATCAAGCGATAAAATAGTAAAATTTATCTCAAACTATTGATTAAATTCATTAAATTGATTGAGTATATATTCGAACTGTGGTTAAAAATGCTTTCTTAATATTCTGTTAAATGATGAAAACAAGGGGAAATGTTTATTACACAAAATAGTAATGTTATAAATTACTGCCTTTGCTGTTGTCTTCGTTTTTATGTTTAAACTTTATTAACTTGAAAACTCACGAGATAAGTTTAATTATATTTATTTTATACTTTCGGCATTTTATATTATACCTGCTACTATCTCTGCCTTTTTTACAAAATGCAATATGGCCACTTCTCTTCTTGCTCTGTCTTATACTCCACCGGCTATGCGCAGTCAGGAAAATTTTAAGCCCTGCGCACTTTCTTCATTCAATATTATTGACAGTACTGGAGAATTATTATTTTAAATTAATAATAATATCAACAATTGACTTTTTTTTAATTTAAGAAAATACATAATTTACAGGGCAAAAAATAAATACAATACAAAATTAAGACAAAATTATATTAGTAAGAAATGTATTTTTTACTTTATTTTTCAGAAGAACAATTACAGATTAATTTTAATTATTAACAATAATTAATGAGCGATTTTTAAATTTTAATTAATCAAAAAATTAAATATTTAAGGAGTATAATTATTTTTTGGAAATAGTCTCTCACCTGGAAAAAAAGAATTTAGTCCAACAATTTTCAGGTAATTTTTACCTAATGGATCATCGAATTTCTTTTAGATAAAAGATGAATGCAAATAAATTTGCTAAAAAAAAATGCTTATGCTAATTTTGTTATTTATAAATTAGAAACGAAAAGAAAAAATGAAATCTTCGATTCAAAAACAATTGTCAGTAGAATCATCATTAAATCGTAAGACTTTCGCAAACAGATTTTCAAAATTTGGTCCAGAGGAATGTAAGTTGTAAAAAAATCTATTTATCGATAAGTCTGCGAATTAATTTAAATTAAAAAAACTATTTTAAATACTCTTAAGGACTCGTTTATAATTTATTTGAAGTATTTCTTCAATTTAAAAATTAAAAATGTCTTCTCTTAGCGATATTGATTAAACAAATTCCCAAAGTGCATTTCATAGAGTCAAAATTATTCCTTTTAAATAATTTTTCATTAGATTTCAAACTAATTTAAAACCAAAATTTATTCCAATCTCAGAAAACATTCTAACTTATTGCAAAAAAAAGTAAATTTTTTTCGCACAATTTCAATGTTTAATTCAAACTTGAGAATCTTTAGGAGCTTTCTTTGCAGTTCTTTGCATTCGATTTTTAATTTTAATGAAGAGTCTTTCTCGTTTAATTTCTATTGCACTCTTAAGTGAATTAACTAAATTAGTAAATTAAAAAAAAATTAATTGCAGTGTCACTGGAACCGACTTTATTGGAAAAGAGATTAATCGAAGCATTTGATGTTTTCGACAATGCCAGAAGTCATGAAGTTGATGTCAGAGATTTGGGAACCATTATAAGATCATTAGGTGCGAAAATTCTTCTCTTACATTTTTTTAGATGAAAATTCATTACCTAATCGTTATTTGCAAATTAAAAAATAAAATTATACAGGCTGTGTGATAACCGAAGCAGAACTACAGGAAATACAAGTCGAAGTTGAAGATGTGGAAAATAATTGTGTACCACAAGGACGATTTGTTGAGTACATGTGCAAATCAATCAGCGAGCGAAAGTATTTTCTTAGAAAAACGAAAAATAAAATTCGAAAATTGAATCTAATTCTATAAAAGAAGCTAAATTTTAAATTGTAAAAAATTTTTAAATCGTAGATTTAGACCAGCAGATCCGGAGGACTTGTTGAAGGCTTTTAAATTATTAGACGTGGATAATCGTGGTCATATTATGCGAAAAGATTTAGAAAAAGCTTTAATGGAAGTTGGTGAACCATTTTCAAAAGAAGAAATTAATGAAATGATGGCCATTGCTTGTGAACCAGAAACTGGTCGAATTAATTATGAACACTACATAAATTTATTGATAGTAAGTTATTTTACTTTCAATTTTCACAAATATATAGAGAGCACAATTTTTCTTTCAATTTAGAATAAAATTCCCGATGAATTGAATGTCTATTCGATTTATGAGAGAGAACAAGAATTAATTGCATCCGCTTCGAAAAAAAGAGCACTTGGCAGCATGTTATTCAAAAAATAATTGCACGATTCCGGATTTAAAATACGAAAAAAACCTTTTCCTTAGTTAGAATATATGTAAAAAAAAAATTGTGAGTAAAAATCAGATCTAAACTTTGAATATTTTATATGCTATATTTTATCAAAAAAAAAATGTACCTTCTCACATGTTATAAAAAATATTTGCTTCTCTAAAGTCTTGAAAAATAGTAGTAAAAATAATAATATATTATATTATTATTAATAGTCGATGTAGTATTTATTACTCCTAACAGTAGAAGTAATTTTCAGTATTTGTAAAGAATACTTTACAATTTTGAAAATACTGGAGGATCTCCTTTTGTTGCTTGTGCAATTACTGCATTTATGAAGTCTTCGCTTTGTAACATTGCCTGGTTTATGTCTCTCTGAAATATTTAAATATTTTACTTTAATTATTGCAATTTCTTCTGCACAATCACCAAATATAAATATAAATAATATTCAGAATTTAAATATTTTAGTTTGAATATTTCACTTTAAATAGTTAGATGAAGAAAATATTCCAATTAAATATAATTTTCTAGGTTGATTAATCGACTAAAATTTGCAAAATCTGCAGATTGTTTTCAATTTTCTCATTTTCTACGGTGAGTTATGATTATTAACTAATTTCGCTTTTTTTGTAAACAAATTATTAATATTTGGAAAAATATACTGACAATGTGAGCCAATCCTTCGTCTACCGTGTGATCTCTCGAATAATTCAAACTGATTTTAGTCGTTTGCACAGCCACTGGACTTTTGCTCGCAATTTCCTCAGCCAATGACAAAGCTTCAGTCATCAATCTGAAAATAATAATTTTATTATTTAATTATTCAGAAAAATTAATTATAATCTTGAAATTAATTTTCGATCGAAGGAAAATAAAAAAGTAACATTTACTTTTCTTAATTGTCAAATAAACTGTTAATAATTAGAAATATTAACAAAAAAAATATTAAAAATGTTAATTTTATTATTTAATTATTTTTAAAAATTATTTTAATCTTGAAGTTAACTTTCGATCAGAAGAAAATGGAAAAAGAAATAATTACTTTTCCTCATTGTCGAATACTCGATTCACGAAACCACATTGAAGAGCATCGTTGGCTGGCAATCTTCGACCAGTGAACGCCAATTCGCGAAGCAAACTATTGCAGCCTATGATTTTTGGAAGTCGTTGTAAAGTTCCAACATCCGCGGCCATTCCAATGTCAACTTCTTTTATTTGAAACCATGCGTTTGATGAGCAATATCTTATATCAGCTGCAGAGAGCATATCAACTGCCGCTCCAACGCAAGCACCATGAGCTGCTCCAATTACTGGTTTTGGACACTAGACTTCGAAAAAAAATTAATTAGTTTTTTTGAAAATTCATTTACGACAATTTTTCTATGTTTACCAATTTTTAAAATTGAACAGTTTGTAAATTTTTTTAGAGAAAATATTTTTATTAAATAACCTTCTCAATGGAAGTGCACGTATCTTGATAAGTTTTAATCTTCTTCTTCATGACTTTACATTTTCGCGCAATATCTTCATGTTCCGCTAATGCCTGACCAAAACTCATTGCGTCCTTGAAGTCCAATCCTGGAAATTAAAATTTTAATAAGATAAATATTTAAAATTATGGAAATTTGTTCTTATTCTTATGTTTCTTTTCGTAATTCAATAGATGAAAAAAATATCTAAACACGATGAAATAAAAAAGATGAATAAAAAATAATAAATAGAAAACAATAAAAATAAATAGAAGTCAATAAATAGACAACAATAAATAAAAATTAATAAATAGAAATCAATAAATTAACGAATTAAGAAATTACTGAATTGAAAAAATTGTATGATTTAAAAAGATTACTTATTCAAAAAAACATTTTTTTCAAAAATATAAAAAATACCTGCACAAAAACTTTTTCCAGCGCCTGATAAAATAATGACTCGACAATTTGCATCTTCTGCTAACTGATTAAAGCATTCCGTAATTTCACTAAAAAATTGTATTCAATTTTTTACATTGTTCATTAAAAAATGTATAAATACCATCTTTTCTGTAGCATTTAGTAAAAGTAAAATATAAAGTAAAGAAAAATTCATCTTTGATTTGAAAGAAAAAAAATTCTAAATAATTTTATACTCACAGCCACATTTTATTATTCATTGAATTCAAAGATTTTGGTCTATTTAGTTGAACATTATAGACAAATGGTTTTGCTTCTGTGACAAGAAGAGTTTCATACTGATTTTTTCCACTAGCTGCACTTGATAAATTCATTATTTGCGTGCCTGTAAAACAAACAAAATTTTTATTATAAATAATCTACAATAGTCTCAAATTTTCATTTTTTTCTAAATAAACTTTAATTTTAATTATTATTCATTTATTTATTTACTTACTTCTAATTTATATTAATTATCTAAAAGAAATCAAATTATAATTATTCTATTTCTTGAATTGAATAAATTAGAAAAGATTGTTATGACTTGAAATAGAAAAATTCATAAAATAATTAAATAAAGAGGAAATAAAAGAAAAGAGAAAAAAAGTGTAATTAAAAAAGAAAAACATTAAAAAAAAGAACTAAATTAAATTAAATTGAAAATAAATTAAATTAAATCGAATTGAAAATAAATTAAAATAAAGAATGAGACAAAAACACCAAGATGCTCAAATGTAAACAATTTGCACATAAATTTAAATTCAATTGAAAACTTAAAAATATTCAAAAAAACTGAAAAAAAACATACAAATCACTCGTCCTGGTCGTAAAACCTGCAAAAGTCGTGAATTCATGATAAAAAAAACTATTTAAACTTTTGATTATTTCTAACTAAAAAAGTTAATAAATATTGAAAAAGTACTTAGTTAAGTTTCACGACAAAATTTGTGTCACTTGCTCCAAAAAACAAACGTTTAAATACACTCCAGATTGAAAACAAATCAATTTTTAAAAGGATCAAAGTCCAGCATGACCAAAGCAGATCTTCCCAGGGATAAGAAAAATTTCTCGAGTCATGTAACTATTCTCGATACATTCCCATCCCTGATAAGTTCAATATTCCCCGCAACAAGTTTTATATCTCACGTTTAAATTAATTCTACTTTTTTTTACTTTTACTTACACTATTTCTTTTATTTAAAAATTTTATTTTGATCTAAGGAAAATTTTATTTTTAATAATTATTTATTTAAAATCTAATAAAAAGGATTATTTGCAATTTAATTTTTAAAAAAAACTATTTAAGAAGAATTATTTTTGTAAAAAGAATAATTTTTGTAAAAAGAATTATTTTTGTAAAAAGAATTATTTTTGTAAAAAGAATTATTTTTGTAAAAAGAATTATTTTTGTAAAAAGAATTAACTTCGTAAAAAAAATTATTTTCAATTTTTAAAAAAAATTTATTAATCTAAATGAAAAATTTTATTTCACTATTTAAGTAAAAAAATAATATTCATAGTTTTGTAAATTTGTGAAATTGTACATAGAAAAATAATACTGTCCCGGCACATTCGACAATCAAAAATTTTGCCAATAAATAATTAAAATTGACGGATTATTTCACTTGCTCTACTTGAAAAATTTTTGTACAAATTTTGTTGAATTGAAATTAAGTAAAAAATATATTTTTCATGACTTTTTTTTTATAAAACTAAAATTTGTCATCGAAAAATAAATTAGATTATCATTTGTCATCTTCTTGTTGCTCCAAAAATTGCTGCAGCAATGCCTTATCCAAGGGAATTGTTAAATATTGTATTCCATCGACACCACGTTTTTCTTTAATCAATTTATGATCGAGAAATTCCGTCAATTGTGTTCTTAATGTAATCTCATTAGTAACAAAAAATCCTTCTCGTGCTTTTTGATACAAATCTTTAAAAGCCATTCCTGTTGTAAAGAAATAAAAAAAAAATTAAATGTAAGAATAAGAGAAAACAAATCGTGTATAAAAATAAATAAAGCAAAATATATAAATTGAAATAAATAGAGAACAAATAAATTAAAATAAATAAAATAAAAATCTTACCTGGATAATGTGCATTTGCATTTTCAATTTGATAATTGACCAAAATAATATATACAGATTTCGATTTATCCGGTAGGGATAAAAAGACATTGTGAAGTGATGATAAGGCAAGTGCTCCACTCTGACGTACCATCAGCGAATTTTCGTACAGAGTTTCCTCCTTATATGGCATAAATGTCGTTGCATTGCTCCAATAAAAATTGAATCTTGCACGTTTCGCGTTATCCCACACTAATCGAAAATAAATTATACAAAAAACTATATTAAATCTCCAGATTATAATAAATTTATCAAAGAATAACAAATAAAAAAAGAAAGAGAAGAAAAAGAGAAGAGAAAAGAAAAGAAACAACTTACAGAGAGAAGCGTTAATATGATCAACTGAAGCAACAAGATGTAAATTAGGAAAACTTGCAAGATACGAAAGTTTATCCTGAATTTTCTTCGCGCGAAGCGAAGGTCCATCAATATTATGAATCAGTAAATAAATTCTATCATCCGGATGTTTTTTCAATGTCTCCTCAATTAATTCCATGCAGTCATTTACATTCGATGGCACTTCTAGATCCATTAAATCCTTGATTATTCCATCGAGTATCTGTTGAACGAAATCATTCACAAAATTATTGAAAAAAATTAAATTATTAACATTTTCCATGGGCAAAAAATGTAGAAATCCAAAAAGATGTAAAAGAAGAAATAAATATAAATCATTACATTTTTTTCAACAATTAAAATATTAATTTTATCCATAACTAGCTGACTAATTAACTATTTTAGTTCCTAAAGAAATGAATTAAAAGTTTTGAACATAAAATAACGTATTTCACAGATAAAATAAATTAATTCACCTCTTTTAATGTTAAACTTGGAAAAAATCCATTTATAATCAAAGCTGGACGACCTTTAATCATTTGCTTCTGAAAATCGTGAATTAAAGTTCGTTTCGATCCCAGGCCGTGTAGCAATATACTGAAACCTTCCCTGAAATAATGAATTGTACAGAATATAATTTTTTGACATAATTCTAATTATTATTACTATCAACTATTATAATTATTATTATTATCACTAGCAAATGATACGCTCGCTAGCGCGCGAAACATGTTATTCAATTTATTATTGTTATGCAAATTACAAAATTTTTTATTTTCAGATATAAATTTTAAAATAATTTCATAATCAAAATTTAAAACATTCACTTATTAAGTACAAAATTAATTATTATTGTTTATATTTTCAAAAATTTTAATATAAATCTTCGCAAGAATTCAATTATTTTTATAAATAGTACAATTTTTTGAAAAAATTATTAAATTATTTTTAACAAAATTTTAATACAATTTCACGAAAGAATTTAATTATTTTCTAAAATTTTACGAAAGAATTCAATTATTTTTATAAATACATAGTAAAATTTTTTGCGAAAATTCAATTATTTTTAACAAAATTTTAATAATATATTCATGAAAGAATTCAAATATTTTCTAAAATTTTAATAAAATTTCACGAAAGAATTCAATTATTTTTAACAAAATTTTAATAAAATTTCATGAAAGAATTCAATTATTTTCTAAAATTTTAATAAAATTTCATGAAAGAATTCAGTTATTTTTATAAATAGTGAAATTCTTCGCAAGAATTCAATTATTTTGATAAATATTAAAATTCTTTGCAGGAATTCAATTATTTTCGAAACAATTTTAATTGAATTTCTCGAAAGAATTTAATTATTTTCGAAACAATTTTAATTGAACTTCTCGAAAGAATTTAATTATTTTCAAATATTTCTATTAAATTCTTCAAAACAATTCAATTTTTCCTAAAATTTTAATAAATTCTTCGATCAATTCAATTATTTTTATAAATAGTAAAATTCTTCGTAAGAATTAAATTATTTTTATAAATAATAAAATTCTTCTCAGGAATTCAATTATTTTCAATACAATTTTAATAAAATTCTTCTTCATAAAATCCAATTGCTTTCAAAATTTTTAATTAAAATTATTAATGAAACTCGAACAGATTATCAGAAAACAACGATTATTTATATAGGTTATTATTACTATTATTATTAAATTATTTTAATGTTTTGGTTGTTAATCTATTGTTGATTAAATAATAAAAACTATTATTTGAAAACTTACTCCAACATAAAGTTCCAAAAAGAAAATTGTGACACATTTTTTTCATAAAGACGACTAATTCCTTCCTTATGATAATTAGAGATGTGTAAATTTTTCGCTAATAATTTATCTATTGTCTCCTTGTCCAATTTGGCAGTTCTTAATCTTCCAAGCGTGTGATTTGAAGTTATAACTTTTTCAGATTGTGTTTGAAAGTATTCTTCTGGATTCAAATGCTGTAATAAAATTTTTTAATGTAATTAGGTAATTTTCCTTATTATTATTATTATTATTATTATTATTATTATTATTATTATTATAATTATTAATTAGTGATTAAACACTAATGCAAATGAAATCAGAAATATTTCATGTTTGTCAAAAATTTCGTGAAAATTTGAAACATTAAATAAATTAAGTTTAATTGACTATTACTTTTCTTTCTAATTAATGTAATTTATGCATTACATTTTATTTATGTAAAAATAATTGTTTTTAGTAATTAAAACTTTACTGAGCAAAGAAACGAAAAAAGAAGAAAAATAAATGCAAAAATTTGTATAGATTTACCACTTCTGTATAGTCATTTTTATCAGCAGTTATTTTTTTAGAAGACTTTGGCTGTTTTTTGAATTTTGTATTTCGTTTGATTGATTCATCGCCTTCTGCTTCGCCTTCAGATTCTTGGTCCATTTCCATGGTTTCATCATAATTTTCATCATCATCATCAACAATATCATTTGCATGACTTTTTTTGATTCGGTATTTTTTTCTTTCCTTTTCATTTTCCTCGTCATAGTCATCAGCTCCTTCATCTTCATCTTCATCATCAACATCATCATCAGTTTCATTTTCCATTTCTTCAGTATCGTCTGAATCACCATTGGGTTCGTATTCACTGTCTTCAGACACACTTTCTTCGAAATCGTCTGCTTCGTAATTGAAATTTCTCATCGAACGGCCCTTATCAACTGAAATAAAAAATTCTCAATTTGAATGAACACAAATTTAGAATTATTTTTAAACTATAAATATGATTCACAATTTTTCAACGTGCAAATGATGGAAATATTTTTGATTAAAAATATTTTCTTTTGCATTGCAATAAAAATTGAAGACTTAAATTTTCCATTTAGAAAGTTTATAATTAATTTTCTCGATAGTGACGCAAAATAATTATGTGATAAAAATTTAATTTCAAGAAGAAATAAATAAATTTCGTTCATTTAATCGCTCAGAACTTTAAGATCTTATGATTCTTTTTAAAATATCAAATTCAAATTATCAAATAATAAATTTTAACAAACCAGATAAATTTCTTTTTGCCTTATTTCCATTTGGAGAATTAAGTTTTTCAAGAACTACAGTTGGATTTATATTTTGATCTTTTATGCACGATCTTGCTTTTTCCAACATTTTCCCTCGTTTCGGTGCATCGACTGGTTCATAAAAATTACTGCCTCTAACGTCATAATCACCATCAAACAATGCTGGAAAAAAAACAAGAATAATTATAATTTTCTTCTCTATAGTAAAAAAAAAGTCCATTCCCTTTAGAAGTTAAAGAAACTTCTAAAAACATAAATTAACATTTAAAAACTGAATTTTAGAAGCGTAAAATTAAAATAATATCTTATAAATATTCTATAAGAATTATTTTTGTAGAAATTAAAAAAGTAAAATAAATTAAAGTTTTAATAATTTAAAAAATAAATTGAAAGTGTAAACAATCAGATTAAATATAAATTATGTTAATTAAACTAATAAGTAATATATTCGAATATACATACCCGATGAGTTATAATTATCTGCTACAATTTCAACATTTTCTCGATCAAAAACATCTATTTTATCTATTGATTGTCGTCTTGAGCTTGAATTTGCTAAAAATAATAAAAATAACTGTTAAGAAAAGAAAAATCTTATATAATAATTGAATATTAAATATTAACAATTGAACATTAATTATTGAAATGTATATTCTTACTTGCTTCTGAAAATATTGTTGATCTTGTCACACGTTTTTCTATATTATTACTCATTGTAACTCGAATTTATTTCAAAACAGAAGAATTCTAATTAGAAAATAAATATTGTGGAAAAATATTTAATTCTTAATAATGTGTATTAAAATAAAAGATTACGGTAAACATTAAACTGTCACATTCACTAAAAACACAACATGACTTGTTGACATCACTAAGCACATTTTTACAGGTTATGTATTTTGGCGATTGGCGGGAACCGGCACACAGCTGATTTTAAATATAGATGTCAGCAGTTCTCGAGTCACGTGACCTTTCAATTATTTAAAAATAAATTTTCATATATAATTATTTCTCACTTCTTTTTTTTACAATTATTTACATTACGTCAAATAATTATATTAAATACACTGTCAATTAAAGTTTAAAACAGAATTTGTAGTTATTTAAATTTTTCATTAAAAGTTTTTATCATTATTAATATAAATAAAATACCTAATTAAAGTATTATAATAGATTATAATTAAAAACAAAAAAAAATTTTCTTTTTTTTAAATAAAAAGGTTTTAGGAATAATTTTAATTCATTTTTTTATTTTATTTTCAATAATTTAAATTTATTTTTATTTTACTTTGCATAATTAAAATTCTTTTTTATATTTTGCATAATTTAAATTTATTTTTATTTTATTTTGCATAATTTAGATTTATTGCTATTTTTTTTTGCATAATTTAAATTTATTTCTATTTTATTTTGCATAATTTAAATTTATTTCTGTTTTATTTTGCATAATTTAAATTGATTTCTATTTTATTTTGCAATAATTTCAATTCTTTTCTATTTTATTTTAAATAATTAAAAAAAATTTTTAAATAAAAAATATATGTAAAAAATAAAAAAAATTTAAATATAAATATAAATAATAAAAATACATAAAATGATAACATAAAACAATGTGAATGCAATTATTTATGTCAAACATATCGTTAAATATTTGACGTCAAATATAAATATAAACAATAAACATATTACAGTACATTAAAATAAAGACAAATAAAATGTATTTAAATTAGTTATATCAATAATATTTATCATCCCCCTAATGAAGTCGTGCGTTTATCTATAATCTAACATTTTTCATCTATTTTTATGAATGAAAAGAAAAAGAGAAAAAAAATAAAAAAGTGAATATAGTTAAACGAAAATTAATATAAAACTATTTTAATGAAAATTGATAAACTGAATAATTTATTACAGTAAATGACTTTGCACCTGTTTGACCCGTTCAATTTCAGTCCAGTGACCAATAAAGCACGTTATAATATGCATGCAGAATAAATATTTATCTAATAAAACAAAATAAATTTTTTCTAAATAAATTTTTAAATAAAAAAAATTTTTTATTAAACATTAAAAAAGGGTATTTTAAAGAGTAAATAATTTCTAAGTTAAAATAATTAAATTAACTATAAACGAGTAATAATAAAAATATTTTTGTTATTTGTAATTTTTAAATAACTATTACTATTAAAAAAAAAAAAAGTTGTAAAAAGTTTTTTACAAAAACATTTACATCTATTATAATTATTACTATTAATATAATAATTTATTAATAAATTATAAAAAATATAAAATATATGAATAAATAAATACCTATGTAATTTAAATAGAAAAGAGAAGAATATAATAAAAATAATAATAAAGTAAAATTTTTAAATAAATAAAAATCTAACTTAGTAACAAACTAAAGAAAACTAAAACTAAACCAAAATAACTAAATATTAAGGGCTTAGCCCGTGTAAGAATATTAAATAAAATAAATAAATAAAATAACTGAATAAATAAAAAAAATAAAAAAATATTTTCAATATTTTTAAATAAGTTTCATAAATAAATTTATAAATCAAAAGTTTAATTATAAATTATGATCAAAAAAGAAAAATTAAAAACAAAAAAAAATCGAGAATTCTATTAGTGTCAATGTTTTCTATGTGTCATATAAAAAAATCTATAATTGTCCCAGCATGAAAAATGTATATTTACTTAATATGACCTTGTCAACAATGAAATTTACTGAGTTTTCATCTCGATTTTTTAGGTTGATTATTGATATAATACACAAACAAAAATGTATTTCTAAACATTAAATATGACAATTTGAACGACAGTAGGCGTTAGATTAGATCTGTCTGGGAATATTAACATGCAAGTTCAAAAAAGAATAAAAAAAAAGAAGCGAGAACCGAATAGTATTACTTTTTTACTCGCCTCGTTCTATACTCTTTATATTGGATATTTTATTTGTTTTTTTAATAAAATGAAAATAAATTTTTCTGTGAACAAAACTAAATTTTTAATAAATAAAACAAATTCTTAATGAAAGAACTAAATTTTTAATAAATAAAACTAAATTTTCAATAAATAAGAAATAATTTTTATTATAAATAAAAATAGATTTTCAATAAATAAAAAAAAAATAATGAAGTTTTGTGCAATTTTCATTTTTACTATTTTGTGCCAAACAGTGGATTCAAAAATTCTCATTGGAATCGAAAATAATGTCACATTTATCGAGGATATTAAAAATTGGTTAAAAATAACTCACGTCATTATTTTATATGACGACAATGATGACGGTAAGTCGTAAATCTGAAACAATAAAAAAATGATTTTCAAATTAGTAAAAAAGCATCGAAACAATAAAAAATAGTAAATTTATTTATTTCGAGTAATCAATACAATTTGAAACTAATTTATTTATTTTATTGTATTTATTTATTGTAATTTCAGTTTTAATTTTAATTTTCAATTGGTTTTTATTTAAATTATTTTATTGTACTTGTTTTTTTATTTAATTTTATTTAAATGTAAATTTAAATTCATTATTTTTACTATCATCTATTCTATTCTATATAAAAATTTCCATATTCCAAACAAAATAATTTCCATATTTTTTAATTTTCGAATTATTTAAAAAATTCCAATTTACATTGAAATAAATAAAATTAGTACAAAACTGAATAATTTCCATTAAGAAAATTGCTCTATTTTTTTATTAATTTAATTTTAACTTAGAAGAAAAAATAAAAAAAAAATTTAATTTAGAGAAAAAAATGAAAAAATTTAATTTAAAAAATTCAAATTTAATTAATAATTTAATAATTAAGTATATTTTTAATTATTACAATAAAAATAATCAGTTAATTCACAGATCCCGAGGAGAATTTGTTTGCCTTTGAAATATGTCGACGATTAATAAGAAAAAAAATTCAAACACTGACAATAAAATTTAAAAATCTTCACGAATTGAATAAAATTTATGAGAAAAGTATTAATCAACCGTTAATAACAGTTTTTCTATCAAATGAAATTTCAATGAAGAAATTTGAAATTTTTTCCCAAAAAATCAACATGAAATGGGGAATCTGGCTTATTATTATTACAAATAACAATTTCCGAACATCAATAAATTATTGTCCAAAGCCAAGGGGAAATATTTTTCATTTATCATTCAATAGTAAAGTAATTGTCAAATGTCATGAGAATAAAAATCTCTATAAATGGAATTCCATCAATGAAAATCAAATTGAAGTTCATAATTTTGCAAAATGGGATATGGAAAATCATATTCACAATAAAACAATTGATATTTTTTTCATTAAAAACGAACAAATTGGTGGTAAACAATTGAAAAGTGCAACACTCGCGGTGAGTTATTTATTTTATATTATTAAATTTTTTTAAAAATATTTTATTTAAAATAAAAAATATTTCAACAAAAAAAAAATAAGTAAAAAATAATGCGGACTTTGATATTTGACATATTGTATATTTTTGAATAAAAATAAATAAATAATTATTAGTTATAATATTTAATGAAATAAAATATATATTGTTTGAAAAACAAATTTTTTGATTCAATTAAAAATAGAAAAATGGAAATTAAAATTTATTTACAAATAAAAAAAGATTTTTTATAAATCGAAAAATTGATTTTAAATTTATTTGTAATTCTTTTATTTATTTATTATTTGTTTATTCAAAATATACGAGAAAGGCCCATTCGTACTTTTAATATTTTTTCGTAATTCTTAGTTTTTTAAATAATTTTTTCTAATTAAAATTAAAATAATTAGTTAATAATTAGGAATTCCAATTAAAATTGAAATAATTGAATAATAATTAATTTCGATTAAAATTGAAATAATTAATTAATAATTAATTCTAATCACAATTCAGATAAAATAATTTCACTTCAAATTGACGTAAAATTAATAATTAATTAAATTAACACAATTTTTTCCTAATAAAAAAAAATCAAAATTGCATTTCTTTTGCAGAATAAACCGAACTCGACGAAAAATGATTCGGAACTTTATATAATAATTCTTACTGAACTGGGAAAAGTGATGAATTTTACACATTACACGACATCGGAGGAGAGTCAATATGGAGCATTGGAAAATGGTATTTGGACGGGTGTAATGAATAAAACTTCAACGGGTGCAGTTGATGTTGCAGCCGTTGGAATGTCAATGACAGAAAAAAGAATTCGAAGTGTTGATTTTACACAACCAATTATAGAATCATTTAAGGCTTTATATTTTAGAAAACCACAAGGCAGCCAAATTCGAAGATTTGGATATTTTCAGGTACAAAAAATAAGTTTTAACTGTTTTAACTTAATAAAAATTGTTGATTTTTTAATTTAAAAAACTTAAAAAAAATAATAAATGAAAATTAATAATAATAATAATCAGTAAATAAAATAACAAATATTAAAAAATCAAATTAGAAAACCAAATAAAAATTCTCTTTAATTTTTTTAATTAAAAAGAATTTTATTAGTAATTATTAATTTTCATTTATTATTTTTAAAAGTTTTTTTTTAATTTATAAATAAAAAATAAATTAATAAACGATAAATAAAATAAACATATTTTTAATTATTATATATCCATAATAATATAATTGATTCATAACAATTAATTTATTTAATTATTTTTCAGGCATTTAATAAATACGTTTGGGGAGTTTTGATATTATTATTAATTAGTATTCCATTATGCAACACGTACATAATGAAAGAAGGAGAAAATTACTCATCAATTACACTTTTGTTTGGAGAAAATTTTTTAGATGTTTGGCGAATTTATTGCCAACAAGGAATTTCAGGTAGAATTTAAAAAAAAAAATTATTTTACACAAAAATAAAAATTTAAACAAAATGACAAAAATTGATATCCATTTAATAATTTGTTTTTAATTAATAATATTTTTTCTAATAATCAGTTTTAAAATTATAATTTTTTTACTAATTAGGTTTTAAATAATAATTGTAAAATTATAATAGACTTTAGTTGAATTTTCTTCAGAAAAATAAAAGACAATAAGAAATAATTTTATGAGTAAAAAAAAATTCTTTTCATAAAATATTTTGTCTAATTTTTTGCAGACTTTCCAAAAAGAGGTTCACTGAGAATTATTTATTTTGTAACATTTATGTTGTCATTGGTATTGTTATCGGCTTATTCGGCATCATTAATTAGTCGGCTTGCAGTGTCAACACCCACATTACCTTTTACATCCATAGAAGAATTCATTTCACAGAAGAAATATAAAATGATTGTTATTCATAAGGGAGAAACTTTTGACTCTATAAAAGTAAGAAAAAAAATAGAATTAATAATAAAAGAAGAACATTATTTACTCTGAAAAATTTAATTCTTATATTCTTTATTTAAATAATATAGAATTTTTCCTTCAATTTTAGAATTTCAAAGACAAAGATTCCATTGGAATGAACAAATTATTAAAGGAAAATAAAGAATTACCTCTGAGTTTCAACGAGGGATTTAATATGGTTTGTCAATTATTTATTTTCTAATCTAATTATTATTCAAAATAAGAATTAAATAATGATTTTAAAAATTAAAATTATTAAAATAAAAATAAAAATTTAAAAATTATTTAAATCACTTAATTTTAATAATAATACGAAAATCATTAATAACTAAAAAATAATTATATTCTTTGTAGATTTGTAAGGATAGATATTCAGTGTTTTTGGTGGAACAAAGTGCAGAAACATCGATCGATGATGTTAATCTTTGTGATTTATCAAAAATTCCCACAGTAACAAAAATTTCCCTAGCCATGTCACTTCCAAAAAATAGTCCTTATACCGGAATGTTCAATTACCAGTGAGTATATTAAATAAAAAAAGTGTATTTAATTAACTATAACAAGCAATAATTAATACTGTCTTAAATTGTTAATTTTTTAAAATAATTTTTTAATAATTTAATAATTATTTTTCTAAAAATTTGTCAATTTTAATTATTTTAATAGTTTAAAAATTATTTCTCTTAATAATTTATTAATAATAAATTTTTATTACCTAATTTAATAATAATTATTTAATTATTATTTAATAATTTAATATTTTAATAACATTTCTTTTATAATAATTTATCTTTTTTTTTTAAATTTTAGCTTACAGAGATTTAAAGAATTCGGAATACTTAATCGACTAGTGAGTCAAAGAATGAAAAGAAATGATAATTCTGAATTAAGAAATTTCGATTCAATTTCTTTGGGTGCAGTTAATACAATTTTTGAAATTGTATTATGCGCTTTCTTTTTGTCAGTTTTTATATTAGTTTTAGAAAAAATTCACTTCAATTATTATCAGAAGAGAGAGAAGGAGAGAAGAAATCAAATGATTACTGATTTTATTCATCGAAGTAATCTCAGGAATAAGAATTCTTTTCTAAATGGTAATTTGTTTATTTAATTAAACAAAATATAAGGCTAATTAGACTATATTCAATCAGAACGAAAAGAAAATGTTTACTGTAATTTAATTATTATACAATTAATTTAAAAAAAAATATTTCTTGTACAATTTTCACTTTATTTGTATTTTGAATTTAATTTTTGTTTTCATTATTTATTATTTAGTACAATTTTTATTTTATTTATATTTTATATTTAATTATTTATTATTCAGGCAATTATCCATACTATTTAATTGTACTAAAGGTATTATTATATTAGTAACAGACAATTTTTATATAAAAAAATGAATTTTAAAAATAATGTTCACACGTTACAATTTACAAAAAATATGTTAAATAAATCGTTATTGTATTTTTGGGGTTGTTTATTTAATTCCTGAAAGTAGCAAATTATTATTTCAAAATTTAACTGAAACTTGAACGAAAATAATTATATTTAGCTAATTTAATAGATATTTACTAAACATTTTAGTTAAAACAGCTACTTGCAGACAAATAAAAATTATTAATTATTTTAGTTACATTTACTATTCTTACTAAATTATTTTAGTTAAAATTACTAATTTTATTAAATAATTTTAGTTTACCATTTTAATTAAAAAACTTTATTTAAAATTACCACTTTAATGAAATTATTTTAGTTTAAATTAGGTACTATTTTAATTGAATAATTTTAGGTAAAATTACCAATTTCATTAAATTAGTTTAGTTAAAACTACATTTTTTAAATAAATTACTTTATTTAAAATTACTATTTTAATTAAATTATTTCAGTTAAAATTATCATTTTAATGAAATTATTTTTTAGTTAAAAAACTTTATTTAAAATTACCACTTTAATTAAATAATTTTATTTAAATTACTATTTAAATTGAATAATTTTAGTTAAATAAATTACCAATTTTTAATGAAATTATTTTAGTTTAAATTACTATTTTAAATAAATAAATTTAGTTAAAATTACCATTTTAAATAAATTACTTTAGTTAAAATTACTATTTTAATTAAATAATTTTAGTTAAAATTACTATTTTAATTAAATAATTTTAGTTAAAATTATTATTTTAATTAAATTATTTGAGTTAAAATTACCTTTTTAATTAAATTATTTTATAGTAAAAATTACTATTTCAATTAAAAAAAAATCAACTGCAAAATATTTATACTTAAAATTACTATTTCCAGATAAATAAAAAAATCTAATTGCTAAACAGTTGAAATTAATATTGACACATAGTCAATTTAAAAAAAACTAACTGCTAAATATTTAACTAAACATTTAGTTAAACCGCAGCTATATTTTTTCTCTGCTATAACTATAAAATTCAGAGAGAAAAAAAAAATTAATCTTAATTGAAATTATTCCGGGACAGCGCGTACGCAGTCCCGACTAACAAAAATTATACGCCCGAGATATCCACATTAGGGATATTCGCAAGGGTCAGCTCAACCGTAGTGCAATGGGAGAGCCTCACCCTGGAGGAACCGCCTTGTTGATCACGGTAGCCTCTGCGCCAGGTAAGTATGCTTTGCTCCCTGACGAGCTGCCTTTTATACCCACGAGGACTCAAGTTCACTACGAGACAGTTGACACTCGCCCCCTGGCCTCATCTCATTCAACTAAAGTACAGTTTCAATCAATAATACACTCTTTAGACTCGAGTCTCACAAGTGTACAGTTTTCTACAAAAATGTACAATAAACAAAAATTATCCCATACGATCAAAAATACTGAATTATTTATTTATTTTTGTTAATTTTATTAATTTTTCACCAAATGTAAAAAAATATGTTTTAATCTACGAGGAATTTTTAGTTTTTCAAATTGCTTTTTAATATTAATAATTTTGTTAATTATCGTGATTATTACAATTTAGTGTAATTTTTAACATTATTATTATTATTAATTTTTTAATTTATTAACTTTATAGTTAATTAATTTATATTTTACTAATTTTCTAGTTTACTAATTTTATATTTTACTAATTTTATAGTTTACTAATTTTATAGTATATTAATTTATACTTTGCTAATTTTATAATAGTTAATTTTTTTATTTATTAGTTACAGAATACAATTAAATAATAATTATTAACATAAAGTATTTTTGTTAACTTAGAAAAAAAATTTATTTGATTCGAATAACCGATATTATTTACTTGTCTACATATTATCAAATAAATATTTATTTATTAATAATAATTTTAATTAAGCCAATTAAATGGAAATTGCTTCAAATGCCGAAATTATTGGTTGAAATACAATTTATTTTATTTAAATAAAAAGTATTTGATTTAAGTAAATATTAAAATTCGATATTAGAAAAATAATCGGCTATTTGAGTAATTCTTTTTTTCCGTGCAGAATACTAAAATTGTTTTATGAAGTAAACAATCAATCTTACAATAATTTAATTTTTAAAATTAAATATTATTAAATAAATAAAAAAAATTTTTATACTAAAACTTTTTTGTTTTAGAATTTATTATTAAAAAATAGAGAATTCTTTAAAAGAAAAAAAAAATTTTTTAGTGAAAAATCGGCCGATTTTTACCAACTTAAATAATTTATTAAATTAATTAACATTATTATTATTTCTAATAAGTTTTACTAATTTTCCGCCCTAAAATGCTAAATTAATTATAAATTTCAGATCCTAGGCTAAAGAAATTAAATTCAAAATAATTGAACTCAAATAATCTACTTAAAATTTAATTAATAATAATTGAATTATAATTATCGCAAATGAAACACTAAAAATTTTATTAGAAATAAATAAAATTTTTTACTAATTTCAATATCGAAGAAGTATTTCACTAAAATGTCAAATTTAGAGGACGAACAATATTTTCAGATATATTGTATAATATTTTTTTACAACTAGTAATAAATAATATAATTTTTTTCTATCTTCTAATGCATCGCTAAATGGAGGGTAAAAAGTGTTTTTCATCTAGTGATCGACTATCTTCGTGATAAAAAAAAAAATGAGCCTATATAAAAATATAATAAGCATTTTATATCATTAAATGCAAATTGCATATGTTCGGTTCATAATTTTTTTTTCATTTTATTCACTGTTGTGTAACTTTTCATTTGTTTTATTTAGTGTCGTGAATATTACTCATTAATTTCTTAAAAATAAATTCAAATTTAAATCATTTTATACGTTCAAATAATTCAGTATTTTAATATAATGTATATTCAAATAATTTAATCAAATAATATATTCTAATAATTTATTCAAATAATCAATTCAAATAATTTACTCAAATAATCAATTCAAATAATTAACTTGAATAACTCAATAATATTTTATTTTGAAAATAAACTAATAGACAAAAAATGCAGTTAAATACAATTTTTAAAATTTTGTGCATACTGTCAATGGATTCTTTAGCGAACGCTAAAATAAAATTAGAAGATTATGCAAAATTGATAATTAAAGTTTTTGATCATAATAAGGAATCTTCGATAACGATATTTCATTATTCTGAAAACGATGGTAAGTTTTTAGTATACTTATTCATTATTATTTAATATCCCTAAAGATAGCGTCGACGCTCCGAAGAAAACTATGATTTTTCGGATTTTACAGAAGAAAATATCACTAATTTTACTGTTTTCATTCACCTAGAGAGTTAAAAAAAATTTCAAAGCACTCTTTTAATTAAAATTTTCGAAAAACTTGTAGTTTTGTGAGAAAAGAAAGTTTTTCGACGCCAACTTCAGGGACATATTTATCAAAAATAATATAAATTATTCTTTTCATTATTTTTTAATTTAATTATTATTACATTTTTTGCAATATAGACTTCATCGAAAAGCAATATTTATTAAAAATAACAAATCTACTGTCGAAGCGGGAGATTGTTTCAATAACAGCCGACTTTCGTGATTGGGGAAAAATGCGAAAGCACTATTGGGAGAAGAATAAAGAGAAAATACACGGAAGACGACCAATGATTGTCATTTTATTATCAGATGAAAAAAGTTTAAATCAATTTCGCCGTATGTGTGTGGAATTAAATTCAGAGGAGCAATTATTTTTTCTCGTACTATTCGTTAAAACGGATAAAGAATATTTAACAGAATTTTGTGAAAATCCCGATAGAGGTTTCTTTCTACTTCGTCTCGATGCCTTTATGGTTGTCAAATGTTACGATAATGATAGACTCTATGGTTGGTATACATTAAGTGGTGATTTTATGGAGGTATCAACATGGGCAATATGGGATCCACAAATTGAATTTTTAACAATGATTCTTGATCATAGTCATCGAAGAATTGATTTAAAAGGAAGAGTACTAAAAATAGGAACTGTCGAGGTAAGAATTTTCTTAGCATAAAAGAAATATGGAGAATTTTTAATTCGAAAAATAAATTTTAGTCATCGGCTCTAACTTCATGGACAGAGGACAATATATTAGATGGTTTCTTTGGTCAATTGTTGCACGAACTTCAAATCTGCATGAATTTCACATGGGAATTAGTGGCAAAGGAACGTGAATACGGCAGTTGGAATGGTACCGGTAATTATTGGACAGGAGCAACGAAATTATTGTACGAGAAGAAAATCGATTTATTAGTGACTGATTTGGCATTAACATCTTTAAGAATGACTGCTATTGATTATACAATTCCGTTATTGAATGTTTATTCCCTTCTTTATGTCAAAAAACCACAGTCTGGAACAGTTGTCAAGTGGTTAGGATATTTTAAGGTAAAATGATTCAATAGCATAAAAAATCGGATATAAAAAAATGTTAAATGGGTTAAAATTAACTCATTTAACATTTTTTTATATCCGATTTTGTTTCTTGCAGTTCTTTGACGTTCGTATTTGGCTTGCACTAATTATAGTGATACTAATCACCCCGCTCATTTTGACGGTCATGAAAATGAAAATTCGCGAATCGAGCATTCTCTCTCTACTGCTGATGGAAAATTATCTGAATATTTGGGGCATCTATTGTCAACAGGGATTATTAGGTGAGTTTCGATAATTTTCTTTTTTACATTTTTAGAAACTTTTTCGGGCTTCGTATTCGATAATTAATTTTAAAAAAGTAGCAAAAAGTAGCTATATCGAAAAATTAAACCTGACGATTCAATTTTTTTTTACAATTTCTTAATTACATTCAAAAATAGAATAATTTTTTAAAACAAATATTTGAATAGCTATTTATTTTGTCCACAGAAATTAAAATATTTCAAATGATTTCAATGTAACGCATTTTATGAAATTTAACATTTTCTAAAAATTACAAAAGTAATTCATTCAAAATTCAATCATTTTTTTGTTGAAATTTATAAATAAAATTATTCAAAACTTTAATCATTTCACTTTATTCAATTCTTAATCAATTCTTATTAGAAAGTTCTATACGAGAATAAAATTATTTAAATAAAAAAAATAAATAATTTATTCAATAATTGAATATTTCTTAAATTTGAATTCTTATAAAGAACACTTTATTTCAACCATTTTGAAAATATTTTAATTTTTACGAAGAATTGCATTCAAATTTTTGATAATATTTTAAATTCAATCAAAAAATGTAATTAAAAATAAATTGAAAATAATTATTACACTCTAAGAAACAAATTATATTAAATTTTTCTTAAATATAATTCAAGTTTTTCGAAGAATTTTATTCAAATTTTTAAGAATAATTTTGCGTTTTTAACGGAATTAATTTAAAATTATATTAAAAATAATTGAATTTCTGCGATGAGTTTTATTATTTATGAAAACAATTGGATTTTCGTCACCGAATTAAAAATTTTTAAAATAATTGAATTCTTTTAATGAATTTTATTACAATTTTTAAGAATAATCCATTTTTCACGGAATTAATTTAAAACTGTATTAAAAACAATTGAAATCCTGCTATAAGTTTTAATATTTATAAAAATAATTGAATTCTTACAACGATTATTATTAAATTTTTAAAAAATAATTGAATTCTTGGTAAGAATTTTTTAAAAATCTATTTAAATAATAATTGATTTTTTTTTTAAATTTTTATGAAAATTGTGCTGAATTCCTTTGAAAATTGTATATTATTTATGTAAAAAATTGAATTCTCTCAAGAATTTTTATTAAAATTATATTGACAACAATTCAATTATTATAAAGAATTTCATTGAAATTTTCAAAAATAATTGAATTCTTTCAATGAATTTTATTAAAATTTTTAAGAATAATCCATTTTTCGCTGAATTATATAATTTAAAATTGTATTAAAAGTAATTGAAATCCTGCTACGAGTTTTAATATATATATGAAAATAATTGAATTCTTGCAACGATTATTATTGAAATTTTAAAATATAATTGAATTCCTGAGAAGAATTTTATTTTTTATATAAAAATAATTGAATTCTTGCGAAGAATTTTATAAAAATCTATTTAAATAATTGGTTTCTTTCGAAAAATATTAGGAAAATTCTGTTTTAAATAATTGGATTTCTGTGGAAATTTTTTTATTTATGAAAATAATTGAATGTTTGCAAAGAATTTTATAAACTTTTTTTTTAAATTATTCAATTCTTTTGAAAAACGCCCCCTCCCCCAAAAAAATGTTACGTAATATATGAACGATTCCCATTAAAAAAAGTATCTTTTAGTGTAACAAATAAAGAAATGTATCCAAATAGTAGCAAATCGTAAAAAAAAGTAGTAAATGGTAGGTTTTAGTAGATGAGTGCGAGGCCTAAACTTTTATTATGGGGGTAAAAGGGCAAATATCGGGGGTAATTTAGCCTTAATATTAGGGGTAAATATACTCTCTTCAGTTATAAATAAAAATTCAAAGTATATACCATCGCGATTGGAGTTAAAATATATTGTTCGATTCTTTTGTAATAATTTTGCAGAATTTCCATCACAAACATCACTACGATTAGTGTACTTCTCGATTTTTGTCTCTGCCTTAATTATTTTGAATTATTATTCAGCTATTTTAATAAGTCGGTTAACGTATCCCATACCAAGTGTTTATCTTCCGGATATGAGAGCTTTTGTTGCCGATGGGACATTCAAATTGATAACTTTAAAAAATGGAGCAGATTATAATATTTTTGAGGTATATTTATTGATTAAACTAGTAAATTATTTATAAAATATTTTAATATAATAAAAATAATTTTTTTCTTTTCGATAATAAGTTTGGGAAAACTCCGATTTTAAAAGCAATGTTCAAACTTATGCTGACATCAGAAGATTTACCCGAATCAGTTCAAGAAGCATTCGATATGGTAAAAAAAAATTCTGCAAGGAATATTTTTTTAAAATAAAATTTTTTTTTTATTTCTGAAATAATAAATTCTTTTTTCTAGGTTTGCGAGCAAAAAGTTGGCTTTTTCGTTGTAGAAACAGCACGAAAAATTCACGATCTTCACATTAAGTGCGATTTACATGAAATTAATACGAATTTACTTGAAATATCGGCAATGGCTATACCGAAACATAGTGAATATAAAAGTGAAATTAATCGAAAGTAATTCATTAATTTATTATAATAATTACAAACGCTTTCTTTGGCAAAAATTCTTAAAAGAATTTAATTTTACGAATTTCTTTACAGTTTCTTCACTTTTGAAGTAAATGGAATGTTGAAGAGATTTTACGAACAATATTTCTATCACGAAACAGTACCAGACGAACCGAAATCACAAGTCACTATTTGGGAAATTGTAATTCTCTTGTCAATAGTTGCCGCTGGAATTATTGTCAGTATTTTAATCTTATTGGCCGAATTAAAAGTTTACTTCCTGCATAAACTGGCAACAGTGAAAAAAAGCAGTAGACACAAAAACAATTTCTTCAAAAAGTTTAAAAATCATCCAATTGATTTGCACCACTCCAATCGAAATGGACCACCAAATATCAAATTTACGAAAAATAATCGTGAATATAAAATTGTATTGAGTCCAGGAGTTAATAAAATTAGTTTTCAATTTTAAAATTCAAAAAAGTTTTTAATTTCATAAGAAAAATAATATTCAATTAAATATTAAATTAAAGAGATTCATTTAAATATTAAATTAAAATAATTTAATTAATTAAATATTAAATTAAATAAAACAATTAAATCTAATAATGTTCAATAATGTTGTTACAGAATAATTTCTTTGAATAAAATGCCACTGATCGCAGTATAATAAAAAAACTATAAATTTAAAAGCGAATAAAAAATATTCATCGGTAAAATTGTATCTTTACTTTTAATCTAAATATGAATTCGAAGTAAATAAAATAATAAAAATTATCGTTTATTTTATAGGCAATTTTCGATTTTTATTTTGTATTCTTTCCCTTTTTCCTCGCAGTTGATAATACAATAATTTTTAGTAATTATTTTTCCCCACAAAAATAATGAAAAAATCGTCAAAATTATTGTTGACAACACTTATTTTCATAGTGACAGAATTTACCAGTGCAAATTTTCAGGAAAATGTGCAATTAATTTTGGATACATACAATTATTACAAGTGTTCGTCAATTATTTTCTTTCACAGTTCCGAAATAGGTAAGAGACTACATATTTTTTCAAAAGTTGAATATTTTATCAACAAAATAATAACAAAAAAAAAATAATTCGAAAACTTCTATTAATTGTTGAAAATAAAAGCTAAAAATTTATTTTTTAATTTAAAAAATCATTTGAATTAATTATTTAATTTTATTTAATTTAATTAATAAATTAATTTAATTTTTAATTTCTTTAAATAGATCTAACAGAGAGAAGTGAAATTTTAAACATTGCATTATACTTCTCAAAATTGAGGATATTTACATTATTTATAAATTTCGAAGATCCCTATGCTTATAAATATTATTTAAATGATAATTCAGGAAAAAGTCGGACACAATTACCTATGAATGTTATATTCTTTACAACGGAAGAATCCTTTAATAAATATTTACAAATGTTTGATCAAATTGATAATAAAAAATCAAAATTCACCTATCCTACTCACGATTGTTTGTTAATATTTATGAATGCACGAAATAGTAATGACAAACCATTATTGAATTTTTGCACGAAACCTACTGGTAATCCAATTAATTTACGTTTCGATTCGCAATTAATTGTCAAATGTTATGACGAACCAAATATTCAAGAATGGTATTCTTTGACCAAGAATGAAACAAGTGTTTATGATTTGGCAACGTGGGATTTTAAAAATGGTTTTCAATTTAAAACAAATCTGTCGAAATACGAAAGAAGAGGTGGACTCAAAGGGAAAATAGTGAGAATAGCAACTACCGAAGTAAATATATCGAATTGATAATTTGTATTTTACGAGCAAAAATTTTTTGAGGTTATGTTTGTAAACTTTGTAGTGAAAATACGAGAATTAATTGTATACGAACCATTGATGTTTGTCTTCATTACATCCGGAATATTCCATGAACACTGATTTCGAGTTTATAAAATAATTTCACGCACTTTTACAAAATTTTCCAGCACTTTTATATTTACTTTACCGTCACGCACTTGCACGCACTTTTCTAACGGTTTTAATCGTTTTAACTGTGTGAAGTGTGTTCCGCGTGAACCCTGTGTGAGTCAGTGTTACCAACAGTAAATTGGTCCTTGTGCAGTAACTCCCTCTATCCCCCACTTGCGAACTATGACAATTCACGAACATAACCTATAATTTTTGTGTTTATTAATATTTCTTCAGAACGCGTTATAAATTCTCTAAAAAAAATTATCATTTTCTAATTAATCCTTTGTAATAGGATGACGTTATTCTTAAAAGAGAAGGCGACACACTTAAAGGATTTATGGGACATATTTTTATCCTGATAAAAGAATCTGTGAATTTTACAATGGAATTTGTGGAAGAAGAAGATTCAATTGGTGTTTGGAATGAAACAACTGGAACCTGGTCGGGTGTTATAAATCATTTAATTAATGATAAAATTGATTTGGCAGCTTCTGATGTATCATTAACATCGACAAGATTACATCATGTTGATTCTACTGTACCATTAATGGTTGTCGAGAATTTTCTCTATCTTAAAAAACCCGACGATTCCATACGATGGACTGGTTACATTATGGTTTTTGACTTTTCTTCTATTTTCGAAAAAAACTGTATATAAATAATATATATTTTTTTAAAATTTTATTATATTTATTATAAATATATTTTTTAATTATATTAACTATACTGATTATTTCTGTTTTGTATCATTTAGACGTATACCAAAAATGTTTGGATATTTATCGGATTATTTTTAACAATAATTCCATTGCTTCTCACATTTATGAAAATGGAAATTCGTGAATCGTACCACTTGCCAAGTCTCCTGTCGGAAAATTATGTCAATGTGTGGGGTATTTTTTGTCAACAGGGTTTAACAGGTTTGAAATTGTTTTAACATAACATTTTATTTCATTAGTCTTGCAAGTAATTTATCTTCTATAATAATCTATATTAATAATCGTATTTCGGTAATCTGTCCGCAGTTTGAAGTTAGTTGCTGTTTGTTTTTTTTTGTTTCCTAATTTTTCTTCTTAAATGATTAAAATTTTTAAATTAATTTACTATAAAAATCATTCAATTCAATTATTTTAAATACAATTTTAATTGAATTCCAGGGACAATTAAATTAGTTTTAAATTCTTCGTAAGAATTCAATTATATCAATAAATAGTAAATTTTTCACAGCAATTCAATTATTTAAAAAAGTTTTAATAAAATTTTATGATCAAGAATTCAATTATTTTCAGAAACAATTAAATAATTGTAAGATGTACTGAAAATCCTTGAACTCTTGTAAAGTATTTATAAAAACATTTGAAATTAATTGAATTAATCTCAAAAATTTTTTTAACATTTATTTCAATAATTGAATTCTTTCGAGAAAATGTAATTAAAATTATTATTAAAAATAATTTAATTCTTGGCAAGATATTTATTAAAATTCTTTAAAATAATTGAATTGTTTTGAAGAATTTTATTATTTACAAGAATAATTGAATTTTTGCTAAGAATTTTACAATTTATAAAAATAACTGAATTGTGTTTCGTAGAATTTTATCAGAATTGTTGAAAATAATTAAATTTAAATAATATTTTAAAAAATAATTGAATTCCTCAGAAACATTTTATTATTTATAAAAATAAGAAAATTCTTGCGGAGGATTTTATAATTTATAAAAATAATTGAATTCTTTCGAAGAATTTTATCTGAATTTTTGAAAATAATTGAATTTTTTGAAGGAATTTTATTAAAAATTTTGAAAATAATGATTTTTTAAAAAAGAATTTCATCAAAATTGTCGAAAATAATTGAATTTATATTACAAATTTTTAAAAATAATCAAATTTAATTAATAATTTTTTAATATATAAAATAATAATAAATGGAATTTTTAATCATTTCAGAATTTCCTTCGGCGTTAACATTACGAGTAGCGTATTTCTCCATTTTTCTTCTGTCGATGATAAACTGGTCGGCTTATTGTGCTTCTCTAACGAGTCTTATTAATGTTTTAAATACAGAATTAACGTTCAAAACTATTCAGGAATTTGTAGACGATGAGTTTTATAAATTAATTGTAATTAAGGATTCGGCAGAATATGAATTTTTTCAGGTAATTTTTATGATAATTTTTTGTAAAATTACGTATATATTAATTTTTTTGTTTAAAAATATATTCAAAATAAAATACAGATTAAAAAAAAGTGATGTATCAATTAAATTTTTTAATAGCACGAAACAGATGACAAGGATTTAATTGCCATGAATAGTGAAATGATGGACAGGAATCAATTACCGACAAATATCAAAGAGGGATTCGATATGGTAAGAATAATAAATTTAATTAAATAAATATTAATCTAAATTAATAAATAGTCAAAGAAATATTAATCTGAATAAATAAATACTTAAAGAATTATTAATCTAAATAAATGGAGATTTATTAAATTTTGTAGAGAAATAATTAAATTAAATTAGAACTTCTTTTTTTTGTATTCTTGAGAAATTAAAAAAATGTCAAATTCATAATACTTAGAAGACTTAGAGTTTGAATTGCTTTATATAAACAAAATTTGTCAGTAAATTTAATTGACACGTACGTACTTTATTAACTGTCAAATGTTTGTTAATTTCGACGTTTAGCTATTTAAAAAAACAACTTGTTAATTCGTATTACGTATTTTGATGAGTATATATGTCAGTTTTTTATCGAACCATTACAATTATAAATTCGCACGTTTCATCTACAGAAAAAAAATGTGTTAACTATTTTTAAAAAAATATCAATTATACAATTAAATATATAAATTATTTATAATTTATTGTTAAAAAATATTTAAATACATAAATTATTTTTGAAAATTAATTTAAAAGAAAACAATTATAATTAATGATTCAATAATAATTTTTCAGGTATGTGAAGAAAAAGTTGCTTTATATATTAGTAGTTATTTAAAGGAGCTCGTAAAAGACAACATTAAATGTCCGATTTATCAAATTTCAACTAATAAATTTGACAACGTGGGTTTAATTTTGCAAAAACATAGTGAATACACAGAAATAATAAATTATCAGTAAGTAGATATTAATTTCCAATTAAATAAATTCAAATGAAATAAGAAAACAAATTAAGGTAAAATAAAAAAATTAATTTAATTAATTTTCGCTAATAAAAATAATTAAAAAAAGTAAATAATAGTAAAATTAATAATTAATAATAATAAAAAGAATTAAGAATTCTTGCAAAGAATTTTATAAAAAAAATTTGATAAATAATAGAATTCCTTCGAAGAATAATTTTATTATTTAGGAAAATAATTGAATTTTCGCAAAAAATTTTGTTAAAATTTTATTTAAATTCTTTTTGAAGAATTTCTTTGAATTTTTTTTTAAATAATGGAGTTTCTTTACCTAATAATTTTAATTAAAAATTTTTGAAAATAATTGAATTTTATGAACAATTTCTTTCAAGTTCTTTAAAATAATCGCGTTTGTTAATAATTAAAATTAAACATTTAATCATTTAATTTTATTAAAATTTTAGAAAATAATTGAATTTTTTCGAAAAATATCAAATTAAAAAATAATTAAATATTTTCGAAAAATATCAAATGAAAAATTAAAAAATAATTGAATTTTTTCGAAAAAAATCAAATTAAAAATTTTTAAAAAATTGAATTCTTTCATGAAATGTTATTAAAATTGTATTAAAAATAATTCAATTTTTGCAAATAATTTTACTATTTATAAATAAAGTTGAAATGTTTCGAAGAATTTATTAAAATTGTAAAAAATAATTGAATTCTTTTGAAATATTTTATAACGATTCAGAAAATAAATTGTATTCTTTCGTGAGAAATTTTTTTTAAAATAATTGAATTTTTGCAAAGATTTTATAACGAATTAAAAAAAAAATTGAATTCTTTCGTGAAATTTTTTTTGAAAATAATTGAATTTTTGCAAAGATTTTACAATTTAAAAAAATAATTGAATTGTTTCGAAGGATTTATCAAAATTTTAGAAAATAATTGTATTCATTTGTGAAATTTTATTAAAATTTTGTTTAAAAATAATTGCATTTTTGCAAAAAATTTTACTATTTATAAAAATAATTGAATTCTCCTGAAGAATGTTATTATTTATGAAAATAATTGAATTCTTGCAAAGAATTTAATTAAAATTTTTGAAATTAATAAAGAAGAATAATTTTTTAGTAAATTAGCTAATTGGATTTTTTTAAAGTTTGAATTTAAAATTATTTAAAAATTCATATTTGAAATAAAATAATAACAATAAATATTATATTAATATTGATATTAATAATGTTAAATTGATTATTTCAGCATTCATAAACTAAAAAATTATGGATTTATCAGTCAGTTACAAAATGTCTATTTGAAAACATTTCTAAATCAAAAAAATCGTCGAAGAACAACTTATACAAAAGTTGGATTTTCAGTCGTTAAATTTCCGTTTACAATTATTGCTTTTGGTTTTAGTTTGTGTTTACTAGTGATTAGCGTGGAAATATGTTATAATTATTTTCAAATTGAACACAATTTGAAAATTATCACCTGGCCCGTCAAGTACTTAATTCAACAATTTTATTTCTATGAGAAAAAAATAATTAAAAAAAGTATTGCCAGAAAATAATCCTCTATCAATTTGTCCAATAAAATTAATACACATTTGTTAACTGTTTTTTTTTAAACAAAAGTTTTTTTAAAAAAATGTTTCTTTAATTTTTGTGTTTAAATTTTCGCGCTCTCGTTTTTCATTGATCAATAGCGAGCAATAGTGAAAAATGTCCGACACTTGTTAGCGAATCAGAAGTAGCCGAGAATATCAAGTCACAGCCAATAGGAAGATTTCTTTAGTGTAAATATCCACCATATCCACATTAATGAGAAGAAAAAATATTTTTGTGTGTTTGTGACTTTGTGAGTCACGAGAGAAAATAAAAGGGTTTACTTACCTTTTTACCTTCTTTCATTCATTATAATTTTTTCTACAAAAAAAGAAAAAAACCACAAGGAAATTACATGAAAAAAGTGTGATAATTATTTTGGCATGAGTGTTATTGGAGAAATAATTTTTATATCATCTGTATAGAGAAGTCAATTTTTTTGAGAGCTGGTGTATTTTTAAAGCTGTCAATTTTATATATCAATCACCAATGGCCGGGCTTAAAGGTTAGATGATAAATTATTTTTAATTTTTATCACAACCATCATCTCTGATAACTTTTATTTCATCAATTTGTTTCAGAAGAATTGCACTTGAAGTTAAAAATTTAGAAGTAGTTTTACAAAATCAAAACATAACCTCTTTAAAGTGTCATTACTTGGCAAAACAAATCAAATGAATTTGCATTTTTTTTTTTTTTTCTATTGTTTATGTTTGCATTTCTTATGTCATTTTTTTTTATTGCACAAATTGTTGTAAAGCCCAAGAGATCAGAGTGTGATAATTTTATCCAATTTTTACTAATTTTACGAACTTTTTATAAAATAAAATTTTTGTTTCATGTTTTTCTTGTGGAAATCATCGAACTCTTACAGCGTAAGTAATTTTTTTTCTAGTTATTTTTATAAAAACGATTCATTAATAGAACGAATTTAAACGGAATATAAATTACAAAATTAATATTCAGTAACATAAAAAACGTATATGTTAATCATGTTATTAATACATTTTTATTAAAATTACAGACTCGTTTCATTGGCTTTCGCCGGTTCGATTGGCATGACATTTGTAATACTTGGTTGTGCCCTTCCCTCTTATCAGTAAGGAAAATTTAATTAATCACTTAATTAGAAGACACAGAAAGGGGCGAATTTAATTAAAGGGAGACTTCGACTACATTTTTTACTAAATCTTTTTTAAATTAAACAACTTATAAAAGTATTTTTTATAAAACATGAAGAAATCGATCACTCCGAGTCTTCGACTCGGAGCAATCGATATCTTCATGTATTATAATAATTAAAGAAGACCGAGTAATAAAATCATTATTTTATATTATAAGAATATTGTTACTGTAACTTTATCAAAATTATTTTCATAATTTTAATTCAATTATTATTGTCTAGAGTTTTAAATTATTTTTTATGAAAATAATTGAATTCCTTAAAAAAATTTTATTATTTATAAAAATAATTGAATTCCTGTGAAATTTTTATTATTTATGAAAGTAATTAAATGTTTGCATACAATTTTATTAAAATTTTTTTTTAAATAATTGAATTCTTTTTGCGAAATTTTATTAAAATAGTAGATATTAGTGTTTTCAACAAAAATTTAAATTAGAAAAATTTTAAGTTCTATTATTTTTGAAATTGCTAATTTTATTTTAAAGAGGCAGTAAGAAGTTAGCCGCGCGAATTTTATACAAATTTTATAAAATTTTATAAAAATTGCTATAAAAAGTATAAAATACAAAAAAATTATGATAAAATTATGATTTGAAATTAGAAAAATAAACAAGTCAATTTCCATATAAAAAAATTGAATAACAATGGTTTTTTAGCATTTTCAACGTAAAACCGAAATTTAAAAAAAAATGCTTCAAAAATAATAAAAATGATTTTTTTCTTTACAATTTTTTTTATGAATACAAAAACATATTTTCTACAAAATTACGGATGGATTTTAAAATCTATCAGTTTTTAAGAAAAATAAAAATCCAAAAAAGGTCAGAATATTTTCTCACCATTGATTTACTCTCTAGAAATTACTTTAAAAATAATTTTATGTTAAAATTTGATGTTAAAAAAGAGAAGTCGAAGTCTCCCCTTAAAAACTAAATTAGTATATTTGAAATTTATATTTTTTTATTTATAATATTTTACTTTTCAGAGTATGGTGGCCATTTTTTGTCGTATTATTCTACATTTTATCGCCAATTCCAACACTGGTGGCGAGACGTGTTTCTGATAACTCAGGAAATACTAGCAATCCGAGTTTAGAATTCGCAATATTCATCACCATGGGCTTCGTCGTTTCATCCTTTGCTCTTCCAATTGTTTTAGCGAGATCGCCGGAGAAGGACCCAGTGGTATGTAAATTATTTCTCTAAATTAATTTCTTTCCTCTTAATCGTAATTTAATTATTACAACCTATTAGAATTAATAATTTCGTATACAATAATTAGAATAATTATTGTACATACAATAATAATAAGAATAATTGTATGTACAATTATAATTACAATGATTTTAATTATAAATATATATTTACATGTTTACAATTATAATTAATTAATTTTTATATTGTTAATTAATTAATTTTTTTTATTTTTAGTTATTAGTTTAGTTATAAGTTTAAAATATTTAAAGTTTAAGATTTCTCTATAATATAAAGATTCGTTTTTATGAAATACACAAAATAATTACAGATACAATGGGGAGCTTGTTATTTGACATTAGCGGGCAATGTTGTCGTGTACCTGACAATTGTTGGCTTTTTTATGGCTTTTGATCAGGACGATTCTGATTACAGTATGTGGTGAAACAGCTGCATATAGTACTTATTTGTCATGGTGAATAACAAACAAAAACAAAAAAATATATATATACTAAAGTGATAAACGAGAAAAAAAAATCGAAGAAAAACGCCCCCCCGAAAATAAGTTATTATACAATATACTTTATATATTAAGTAACTGCATATGCATACTTTAATATATATTAAGTAACAAAAACGTATGCATACTTTATACGTCATTTTATAAATAGAACACAATTAATTTGGATGCTCTTTTAAATTTTTGTACCAATGTCACGTTGAAAGGAAAGAAAAAAGAGCTCCTTCAGTGCACTGACTGATTGCTACGCTTTAAAATGTATAACATCAAATTTACATTCTATATACGTTAATTATTAATATACAACTTACAATTTAACTTGAAATCATTAGTATATAAGTTTATAAAAATTACCTATTGGTATTCGATATATCATTATAATGTAGATTGTTTCATTTTTCTTATTATAAGAACGTTTGTGTTCTTTAAGATTAATGTTTTGCGCATCGATGCTATAAACTTAATATCAATTTTTACTGTTACTCAATTAATTTTAGTATAAATGATATATTTCGATATGAGAATTAATTTTCTTTTTTTTTTAATCGTTCTGTGTTAAATGGTAAAGCAAGATTATTATCGTAGTTGTATGTGATCAGGAAATAATAATAATAACAACGTTTACCATTCCAATTTCGATTGTTTATTCACAATCACCATTTTTTTTTTATTGATTACTATTTTCATAATAAAATAATTTTTGTAGAAAATAGTAAATTAGTTAACCAAATATTTTTTTAATTTATAAAAATTAGTTTAAAAAGGGAAAATTTTTTAATTATTCAAAGGGAAAATTAACTTTCTTAGAAAATAGTAAATTAGTTAACCAAATATTTTTTTAATTTATAAAAATTAGTTTAAAAATGGAAAATTTTTTAATTATTCATAGGGAAAATTAATTTTCTTAGTGTTATAGGTACTAATTATATTAATATTATACTTAATAGTTAAATTATTAATTATAAATATTTTATTTTAATATTTCACAAATATTTTATTTAAATATTTCATAAATATTTCATAAATATTTTATTTAAAAATAAGAATTTTACCAGTGACGAGTAAGAAAATTTGTGACTTTATCGGTTGAGTGATCAATGATCTAACAGTAATCTTATTGGTGAAAGCAAGAAACTAGTCCTGAGAAAATCTATAGAAAAATAGAAAGGAAAAAAAGATATTTAACAAATATAATTACAGTAAGTACCGGCAAGCAATTTTCCGTGAATAATGTTTGATAGTTGCTAAGTGATATGATAAAAGATTGTAAGTTCTGTCAATTATTTGACGTCTTAACTTTAATGTGGAAATTATATCGATTGATTTAATTGATTTTACACGAAGGAAAAAGATTTATTTATGTTTTTCGATACTTTTACAGTGCTAATGAATAATACAGGAAACAATTAATTTTTGTAACAATATAAAGTGAGCAATGAACAATACCGATCGTAACGTTGATGAGGAAATTGAAATGATTGAAAGTGAGTTATTTTCTCGTTTATATTTATTTTTTTCTTTATTATTTTGTTTTGACTTGCTTTTTCTTTTTAATTCAAAAAGGGCGCAATTTGACGTTTAAATTGTATTTTCAAATATTTTCTATATTTTTCAAATATAGAATATTTGAAAATGGAATTTTTTTGGAGTAATTTTGAAAAAAGTGGTGTGTGGATAAATTATTTTTTTTTCTACTAATTATAAATTTTGTTAATTATTTTATTGTTATTTTGCAGCACAAGGCAGTGGCGAGCCTGATAATACGAGGAATGTCAATTCCAGAAATCTTTTTTTGCAACAAAGAATTTTCGCTCATCATGCACGTCATTTGCCGTCCAGAAGAATAGGTATATTTTTCACAATTTATTTTCTTTGTTCGTTATTTATTTACAACTTTTGGAAAATTTAGAATTTTCCTGTTCTGTAAATCAAAATTATTTTCGTGTATTTTCAATTTATTTGCTTTTATCCTTTTTTATTTTTTACTTTTTTTCTATTCTTTATTTTTATTTTCTATTTTTACTTTTATTTTCTATTTCTTACTTTTATTTTTCCGTTTATGTATTATTTTTAATTTTTTACTTTTACATTTTTTCCTTTTTACTTTCCTATTTTCTTTATACTTTTATTGTTATTCGATTCAATTGTGGAAAATAAATTCTAATTGAAAATTTTCAGTGGCACTGGCGAATGGGAGAAGTGAAGGTTTAAATGAAATTTCCTCATTCATTCCACAATTGACGTTGAGGATAAGAAATTTACCTTTGGAGGATCATGCAACAATGATAGCGAATCATATTGAACAAAATGACGATCTTATGCAAAATGATCCACAATCGGAGCATCTTCGAAGTGAAATTTTACGAGACATGCCACAATGTTTAACTGTCAAGAGAACAGTGAAGGCAAAATTGAGTTTCAGTGCTAGTCAAAAATTAAAGAAGAAACCTGTTGGATATTTAAAACGACTCAAATATAGAATTAGCATGTCTTTCACAAAGGTATTCATAATAATTTCTTCATTTTACGAAAATTTAATTTTTATTTCTCTTCATTAAAATATAATTAATTTTTAATATTGAAATTTAGATTTTTACAAACATTTGATATTTTTAAATTTAAAATACAATTGATTTTAAAAATAAAAATAATAAAATTTATCTTTATATAATTTTATTTAGTTTTATATAGTTTTATGATATTATACTCATTTTATTAATACTGAAAAATATTTTTACAGTTCAATGTGGCTTTACGTGAAATATGTTCAGAAATGGAATTGTGGTATCATCCAATAAAATCGATAGAAGGACAATTTGGAAGTGGAATAGCGACTTATTTTAAGTTTCTACGATGGTTGTTTCTAATTAATATAATTACGTGCCTATTAAGGTAAAATAAAGAACCATTTTCGATGTTTGAAAACTACAGAATTAGAAATTAATCGTTTTTTCTTCTTTTGCAGTGTATCTTTTATAATTATACCACAATCTTTAATTGGCACAAAATTAGACAATTCTTTTCGTTATTTAGATCTACTACTTGGGAATGTGAGTATTAATCTGAAAAATTGAAATGTTCTTCAAAAGAAAAATTATTTTAGATAGTATTATTAAAGTATTATTTTAGAAAGTATTATTTATGTAATTTATTATTTAAAGTATTATTGAAGTATTATTTTAGTAATTGCAATTAATTTAATTATCTAAGAATCAAATTTACAATTCCAGGGATTTCTCACGAATTCGTTAATGTATTATGGATTTTATTCAAACCAAAGTATAAAAGTGATGCCTGCCAATACGTATCATATTCCCTCGGCATATTTTTTGACTTTAGGTTTTTGTTATTTATTCACCTTTGTTCTTCTTTGTTGCAAGTGAGTGATTATTTCTTCCTCCGATATAATCATTATTTAATATTCAAGTTAAGTTATTAAGTTACTTTTTATTTTATTTTTTATCAAGTTCCTTTCAATTTTCAAGTTTAGTTCTAAATTGAACTTTTATCGAAACGTTTACAAGTATGAATGGAAAATAGAAATAAATAAAAAAATTAATAAATTAATTTTCATATACATATATATTATTATATATTTATAATTAGATTTTATAGATTTATTTATAATGGAAAATATTTAAAATTTCCAGAGTGGCGCAATCGTACAGAAAATGTTTTATCGAAACATCAGGAGGAATTTATAATCAGTATGCAATGAAAATTTTCTGTGGTTGGGATTTTGGTATTTCATCATACAAAGCTGCAAAATTATGCTCATCATCTTTGCATAGAGAATTAAAGGAACTTCTCAGTGAAACAGAAAGTGACATTGATTTATCATGTTTCACGAAATTCTTAACAATTGCCATTCAAATTCTAATGACAATTTTTGTCCTCGCAATGATTGCTAGTACCGGTGGATTATTATGGATTTTGCTCAATCAACATAAAGCGGATGTGAATAATGTCTGGTCGATTTTAATGGTGCCTCTAATTGTCACTGGAATTATAAACATCTTTCCTTCCCTCATTTCATGGCTTGTGAGTAATTTAAATATTTAATGTTCTATTTAACACTTCTATTGAATTTTTGAATAAATTAATTTTCCGTTCATAATTTTTAATATTCACATTTCTATTTTATTTTTTATTTCCATTGCTTTATATATTTCTATTTTATTTTTTATTTCCATTTCTTTATACATTTCTAATTTATTTTATTTCACATTTTATTTCTTTTTCTATTTTAATACAAACAGATTATTGATATTTTTGAATACAGATTGATTCTTTAATTATTTTATTTTAATCAATTTTGAAAATTTAATTTTCCGGAAACTAATTGCCCAAAAATTGATTTCAGGCAAAAATGGAAAAATACAGTAACGATAGAATAACATTGTACGTGACGATAATAAGAATGTACACAATGACATTGGTCGTGATTGGAACACTGTTAACATATTGGATAACACGTGGAAATTTTGATTGTTGGCAAACGCAATTGGCGCAAGAAATTTATCGACTGATTCTCCTTGATTTTATAATATCAGTCATTGGTGTTTTATTGGTTCAAATGATACGTTCAAAATGTTGTACAATAGCATTTGGAAAAAATGTTTGTTCACCAAATTTTGATATTGCTCGAAATACCATGAATTTAATTTACAATCAAACATTATTTTGGGTGGCATTCTATTTCAGTCCAATGATGTCTGTTATTATTGTTCTGAAAATGATGTTGACATTTTATATTAAAAAATTTGGACTCGTCACATTTTGTGAACCACCAACGAAACCATGGCGTGCCGCTCAAACTCAAACACTTTTCTTGGCTTTGGCTCTATTGGGAATGGTTGGTTCTTTAATTGCATTGGGATTTGTTACGATTTACAAGACAACCGGCGATTGTGGTCCATTTAATGCTCATAATTTTATTTGGGAAGTTTTCGCTGAAGAGATTTTATTGGTTAAGAGGAATAGTGTTGTTTGGTCGATTTGCGAGCAATTTGTCGGCGTTGGATCAATGAGTGTTGTTCTTGTAATTATGTGGTGAGAGTAATTTAATTATTTTAAATCAATTAAGTGAATTTACGTATTTTGAATTATTTAACATTTTATTTCATTTTATTACGAATTATAAATTATTAAAATTTTATTTTTCTTTATATTTTAATTTTTGTTTCTTTATTTTCAATTAATTTAATGTCAGGGGATTTTAACGCTAATTAATTAATTGTAATTAAAATTTTTCAGCATCTCTGTTTACTATGTGCGTGCGAAGGCCATAGCCACGAAAGAAATGGTTCAAATTCTACGTGAAATGTTAATTATGCAGTCACGTGATAAGGAATTTTTACTAAAAGGATTTACTCAATTTTCCAAAAATGGTAAGAATTTTTTCTCAATTATTAATAAATAAATAAATAAGAAATAATAAATAAATACTATATTTAAATTGTCAAAAAGTAAATATTCAAAGTTTATTAATTTTTAATTTGTTTCATAATTAATTATTATGTTATCGTTAACTTTTCAGTTTTTTTCTCAATATTTTCAAAATAAAATAGTTATTTTAGTATTTTTTTAGCATTTTTCATCATTTGCTATTTTGTCACCAGGTTTGCGTAGTTCATTGCGTGATCAACAGAGAGAAAGGTCTTTTAGAGAGAAAAATAAAGAGAATACTTCTCTACGTGCTGGCCCATCGAATGCCGAGTATTAATTTCCAAAAAAAAAAATATCTATAAATAAGTGATGAAAACAATTAAAGACTGTATTTAGCCAAATTTAAGAATTGTTAAATATTTTACAAGTTTAAATTTAGTTTTTATTTACAAATTATTAAATAATTAAATTAACTTTTCGTTTAAACAAAAAGTAAAATAAATTATAATTTATAATATAGTTTATTGTAATTTATATTAATTTATTTAATGGTTATTTCCGTAACTATGACGATTCATTGATCAAACAGTATAACTTAACCTTTTGACACCTGATTTACGAGTAAATTGAAAATTACTCCCAACAATTTTAAAGTTATTTCCAAAAAATGTGATAAATATTTTTCTTATATTCTTCTACAATTTTTATAATGACGATAATTATATTTATAATTATATTTAGCTTAAATAAAGATTCGAAAGAAACGAATTTTAGAATAAATAAAAAAAATGGATATTTATTTACAGTAAAAACAAAAATTGCTTTTAAATATTAATTACAAAATTTTATAAAAGTAAAAGAATGGAGAATTGTTTAAATAAACAAAATATGCATATTGCTGGAAAAAGCGATTTGCAAAATTTTTCTGATTTATTAACAAGAAATATGCCAGTGGAAAATTGTCACGATTATGGTAAAAATTCAAAAATTATCTGCGATACTTTGAAGCCAAATATTTATAAATATTCAATGAATTACCGAAGTCGAAAGGAAAGGAAAATTCCAAATCAATGGAGACCTTTGGATCAAAATGGAAAACTTATTTATCCCCCAATACAGTGTGTCAGGGAGTATGAAGAAAAAATGAAGGAAAAATTGGAGAGGAAAGCCAAATATTTGGAATTAATGACGGATAATAGTATAACATTACAAGAATTAGCCGAAGAGAGAACAGTGAAAAAATTCAAATCAAAGAGAAGAGTTAAAAAAGTACCGGAAGATCCGAGAATTTTTCAAGAAGAGGTGAATCGTTGACGAACTTTTACTTTTTGTGTTCAAAAATAAAAAAAAAAAACAAGTGGGTAAGATTTTTATTTATGGGAGTATTTTATTTTTGTTTACTATTTCCATGTATTTTTTAGATTCTACGAAGAAGAGAAGCGGAAATTCCTCGTGATATTGAGAGTCAATTAAGTGAATTACATTCCATTGAGAAAAGAAAGCCAATCGTTCGAGAGGAAGATATTTGTAGATTATTACAATTGAAAGATTGCATCACTGATTCTCAACTTCAACCTTACGATTGTTCTAATTTTGAAGAGATACGCAGGAGAATTGTCGGAAGATTACGCAAACGATCCGAGTAAGTTTTCCGTAAATTTCTCCAAAATTTTCTCCTGCAACAAAATATTTAATTTCTATTCAATTCATCTTCTTTTCATTTATATCCAATTTTTCTAATTTTATTTTTTTTCTATTTTCAATTTGTTTTATATTTTATTTTTATTTAATTTTCAATTTATTTTTATTCAATTTTCAATTTATTTTATATTTTAATTTTATTCAATTTACTTTCATTTAATTTTTATTCGATTCATTGTCATTTAATTTTCATTCGATTTATTGTCATTTAATTTTTATTCGATTTATTGTCATTTCATTTTTATTCAATTCATTGCCATTTTATTTTTATTCGATTTATTGTCTTTTCACTTTTATTCAATTTATTTAAATTTCATTTTAATTCTATATTCAGTATATTTCTCAAATTTTTCAGTTTTATCGCGAGAACAACAGAATTGGAAAGAGAAATTGTCAGTGACTATAAAGAGAGTCTACGAACTGCGATAGTTGATTTTACAATACAAGATCATGAAAAAAGGAAGTGCTTGCAAATTGAAACCATACCTGTTGAATATCCAGTTTTCAATATACGAGCACCTGTCCCTTGGCATCAGCTGAAAGTCATTTCCGAGCATTTTATGCAACACAATCTTTTCATAGGAAATGAGATTTCACGGGAAATTCGAAATTTATGGGAGCGAAGGTGAATTTTTTTTCCTTTTAGGATATTTTCTTTCGTTTTTCTTTATTGTAAAGAATGAAAATTTATTTTTTCAGTTATAATACAATGATGATTATTCAAATTGATGATTTGGGAACATTTCCGATTCCAGCTTTAGAAATACAATCGCAAATGAATTCAATTTGTCGAGAAACGAGTAGAAAATTGATAAAGGAATGGCTTGCGAATGTTGCTGATATATTTCTCGAAAAAAAAGATGCGTGGTCGAATTATTTTGAAAAGAGTTCATTAGCCTCGTTGGATATGATTGAAAAATATTTTCGCAGCATTAATACACTTTTATCGAAACAATTACGTTCAATGGTGATTAAAACTCTAAGGCACTTGAGAGATTTTTTCGTCAAGTACAATAATGGAAATAGTTTCGATGGCGATTATCAGGATTTAATGTTTACTCGGTTCGTATATTATTTTATTCTCTAAATTATTATAAATAACATTTTATTAATATTTATTCTCTTTATTAATATTTATTTTAATTTAATTACATTTATTAATATTTATTTACTTTTATTTACATTTATTTAGAACTCCTTTTATGACAATCGCAGTTGACGTTAAATTTGGAACAAACGATTTGATACTGAAACCGAGTGTTATAGAAATGCAGAAAATATTATCGGAATGTTTCGATAAAATAATTTCAGTCGCTGCTAAAGTTCCAAAAATCGAGACAATTTTATTTCCCGAATTTAAGAACGAGGGATTTCTTTCACCTGTTTTGAGAGAAGAAGATAAGGTAAATTTTATTTTTCGTTTTTGGAAAATTTTGGTCTATTGAAAAAAAGTTTTTATATCGAAAAATTATTATTAGGTGTCGAAAATAGTTGAAGAGGCCTTGGATGCTGTCGCCATGAATGTGGATGGACCAAATTTGTATTTAAAATCCTACGACAATCTTTTGTACATTATCAATGGATCTGCCAAGGAAAAATTGAAAGAATATTTTGATCTCGATCCTTTTCCGTCTTTACGCGAATTCGGACACAAAATTGAGGATCTCGACGCACTCAGTCAGAAAATTTCTCTCTTTCGGAATAAGGTTTGAAATTTGAAATTTTACTTTTGAAAATAATTCATACAATTTTTATTTATAAACTAGCAAATTGTATTATTATGTAAATTACAAAATTTTTTGTTTTCAAATATCAACTTCAATTTTTGAATAATTACAAATTCAAAATTTAAAAAATTCAATTATTTTCAATACAATTTAAATAAAATTCTTTGAAACAATTCAATTATTCTTATAAATAGTAAAATTCTTCTCAAGAATTAAATTATTTTTTTATAAATAATAAAATTCTTCTCAGATATACAATTATTTTCAATAAAATTTTGATAAAATTTCTCGAAAGAATTCAATTATTTTTAAAAATTGTAATACAATTTTTCTAAAGAATTCAATTATTCTCAAAAGTTTTGATAAAATTTTTTATAAGAATTCAATTATTTTTATAAATAAAAATTTCTTCGTATGAATTCAATTATTTTCAGTAGAATTTTTATACAATCTTTCCAAAGAATTCAATTATTTTCATAAATAATAAATTTTTTCGCATAAATTCAATTATTTTCCGTACAATTATTATTATTATTATAAGATTTTCTGGAAAGAATTCAGTTATTTTCAAAAACTGTAATAAAATTCTTATAAGAATTCAATTATTTCCATAAAAGTTTAATAAAATCCAATAATCAAATTTTTAATTACAATTGTTAATAAACATGATTATTTTAAAAATTTGAATGAATTTTTTTCGTAAAATTGAATTATTTTCAAAATGTTTAATTAAAATTATTTTAAAAAACTGCATTTTTTTCATATAACTGAACAAAATTCGTAATAAATATTAATTAAATTTGCAAAAACTCTTAATAAAATTGGTCAAAAGAATTAAATTTTCTATTGATATTTTTAATAAAATTTAATATTAAAATTATTAATTACAATTATTAACAAAATCGATTATATTAAAAAAATGTTTTCGAAAGAATTGAAATTATTGTGAAACATTGTAATAAAATTCTGAGAAGAATTCAATTATTTCTAAAAAAGGTTAATAAAATCCAATAATCAAATTTTTAATTACAATTAATAGCAAAAACGATTATTTTTAAAAATGAAAATAAATTCTTCATAAAAGTTAATTACTTTTAAAATTTTCAATTGAAAGTATTAAAAAGCTCCATTATTTTTAAGATAACTTTTCTAAAGAAAGAAATTATTATCAAAAAATTTTAAAAAATTCTTCGCAAGAATTATTTTCATGATAAAATTCAATTATTTTCGTAATAAATTTCTTCGCGAGAATTCAATTATTTTCAATGCAATTTTAAAGAAAGTTTCTCGAAAGAATGAAATTATTTTCAATATGTTACTAAATTTCTTTGAATGAATTCAATTATTTCAAAAATTTCTAATAAAATTCTGAGAAGGACTTAATTATTTTTTTATAAAACAATCAAATTTTTAATTACAATTACTAACAGACACGATTATTTAAAAAAAATGTTAATAAATTCTAATTCTTTATATAATTCAATTACTTTTAAAATTTAAAATTAAAATTATATCAAAAATAATATTATCACTCGGTCGTCAGAATATTAAAATAGTCATCGTTTACTTAATTTTAAATTAAAATTATTCCAAAAAACTCCATTATTTTTAAAAAACTGAAAGAAATTCTTCAAAAGAAACAGATTATCGAAATACAACGATTATTAATATAGATTTTATTCAATTTATTTAATTAAATTTTTTTTTAATTTATTAATTTTATACTATTTTTTTACTTATTTCAGCCAATTAAATTTTTATTTATTAAGTTTATTCAATCAATTATTTTCTTTATTCCCTTTAGTAAATTAAGAATTTCATTTTAATTCACAGATTCCGTTAAATTTGATCGAAATGGACTGCTCATTCGTGAACGAGTCAATGCGTCGAATTTTATTCGAGGATCTCCGAACAAGTATCTGTGACTATTTTCTAAATGAACTGCGAACAAACAATCAGCATTTATGTAAAATTTTCGACGAGATAGCAAGTAGAATTTCAGGAATGCCCGAAACAACACAAGAAGTTGTCGAACTGATAAATTATCTCGTTGAGAGTCGTGACACAACGATGTTTAATTTACGAGGTGATCTAGCACGTTCAGCGGAATTAATTTTATTTCTATTCAATTATCATCCACTTGTTGACGAGGACATTCAATTGAATACAAGAACACTGACATGGCCAAAGGAAATGGAGACAGTGATGGATCTCGCGAACGTTCGATTGAATATGAGAAAGGAATTTGTCGAAGGTGTACTTAAAGTGAGAAAGGAGAATTTCGAGCAGAGAATTGGGAGAATGAAGGAGATTTTGGATCAGTTTAAGAAGAAGGATCCGCCTGTTCTTCGTATGGAGGAAATGGAGGAAGCTGTCGTGGAAATTGAGGATATTTCCCAACAAATGACGGATATATCGAAAGAGGCGATAAGAATTAATGAGGAGGAGGTGCTATTGGATTTGGAGCTTAGTCCTTATATTACACTGCCGGGAATGTCGAATACGGTGGAGATTTTCGATAGACTTTGGCATACTGTTTTGATATTTCATCAGAATTATGAGAAATGGTTTTATGGACCGTTTGTTGGTCTTGATGCGGAGGCGATATTGGAGGAGACGGATAATACTTGGAAAGTTTTGTATAAACTCTCGCGAGCTTTAACCGATGTGGCAGGAGCGAGACGTGTCGCCGAAATGGTTCGCGGAAAAGTTGAGAAATTCAAACAGTTCATACCGATTTTGCAGACGATTTGTAATCCTGGTCTTCAAGCACGACATTGGGAGCAAATTGGAAAAGTTGTTGGTGTGACGATAGTGCCGACAGTGACGAGCAGTCTTTCTCAAATGATTGACTGTGGTCTACTTGTTTATATAAATCAGCTCGAGGAAATATCGTCAGCAGCGACGAAGGAACACGCACTGGAGAAGAATTTGAAGAAAATGCAAGAGGAATGGTCGCTGATTGTTTTCGATTTGAGTCCTTATCGTGAGACGGGTGTTTCCGTACTCTCAGCCGTTGATGATATTCAAGTACTCCTCGATGATCATATTCTAAAAGCGCAGACTATGCGCGGTTCACCGTTCATCAAGGCTTTCGAACATGAAATGCAATCTTGGGAGGAGAAATTGATTCTAATGCAGGACATAATCGATCAGTGGCTCACTTGTCAAGCGACTTGGATGTATTTGGAACCAATATTCAGCAGTGAGGATATTATGAGACAGATGCCAACGGAGGCGAAGAATTTTAGAAAAGTCGATAAAATTTGGCGAGGAATTATGACGTACGTGACGGAGAATAAAAAGGTAACTATTGCAACTGCTATGCCGAAAATGTTGGATCAATTCAAATTTTGTAATCAGCTTTTGGATGAGATTCAGAAGGGACTAAATGATTATTTGGAGAAGAAGAGATTATTTTTTCCCAGATTCTTCTTCTTGTCGAATGATGAACTATTGGAGATATTGTCAGAGACAAGAGATCCACAGAGAGTACAGCCGCATTTGAAGAAATGTTTCGAGGGTATAAGTGCACTGCGTTTCACAAAGGAGGCGGAAATAATTGGTATGTTGTCCGATGAAGAGGAATATGTGCCGATGAGTGGGAAAATTTGTCCGGCCGACGCGAAAGGAATGGTGGAAAAGTGGCTCTGTCAAGTTGAAGAACTAATGAAAAGTTCCTTGAGGGATATTGCCCAGGACAGTGTAATTGCATATTTTTCGAGCGAGAGGGAAGAGTGGATTTTATCATGGCCGGGGCAAATTGTCCTTTGTGCGAGTCAAATTCACTGGACTTGTGAAGTAGTCGATTCGTTTCAGGACAACACCACGGGGAGTGTTTTAGAGAAATGTAGTTCTCAAATCGATAGAACCGTAGCCTTGGTGAGGGGGAAATTGGAACCGGGAGCTAGAATCACACTGAATGCTCTGATAGTCATTGACGTCCACGCAAGAGATGTTGTTAAATTATTAGTTGAGAAAAATGTTCAAGACGAGATGGATTTCAACTGGATTTCTCAACTGCGATACTACTGGTTGAATTCCAGTATCACCGTTTCGATGATCACGACCGATGTTGTCTACGGATTTGAATACCTGGGGAATTCGGCAAGATTGGTGATCACACCCCTAACTGACAGATGCTATCGAACCCTAATGGGAGCACTGAGACTAAATCTCGGAGGCGCTCCGGAAGGTCCTGCAGGAACGGGAAAAACCGAAACTTGTAAAGATTTAGCGAAAGCAGTCGCTAAACAGTGCGTCGTCTTCAATTGCTCAGAGGGTTTAGACTACATGGCAATGGGGAAATTTTTCAAAGGACTCGCACAATCTGGAGCCTGGGCCTGTTTCGACGAATTCAATCGAATTGATCTCGAAGTTCTGTCGGTGATAGCGCAGCAAATTCTGACAATACAGATGGCGATCGGAATGAAAGTGGAGAGATTTGTTTTCGAAGGAACTGAAATAAGACTCAATCCGACTTGTAACGTTTTCATAACCATGAATCCCGGTTACGCTGGTCGTCAAGAATTGCCCGATAATTTAAAAGTTCTGTTTCGAACCGTCGCGATGATGGTACCGGATTATGGAATGATTGGCGAGATAACTCTCTACTCGTACGGCTTCGTTGACGCTAGGAGTCTAGCTGATAAAATTGTCCACACTTATAAACTTTGCTCGGAACAATTGAGTTCGCAGAATCATTATGATTACGGAATGAGAGCTGTGAAAACAGTTTTGATAGCAGCTGGTAATTTGAAATTAAAATTCACTGAACAAAATGAATCTGTACTTGTACTCAGGGCGATTGTTGATGTAAATCTTCCGAAATTTCTGGCCCAGGATGTTCCGTTGTTTAACGGAATTTATAGTGATTTATTTCCGGGTGTTGAACTACCGGAACCGGATCGTGACGAATTGATTGAATTGCTGAAGAGTAATTTGATGAAAAGAAATCTTCAACCTACACCTTGGTATATTGGGAAGATTGTTCAAATTTATGAGATGATTCTAGTTCGTCATGGATTGATGATCGTTGGCGAACCTTTGGGCGGAAAGACGCAGGCTTATCAAACTTTAGCTGCAGCTCTCGGAGATCTTTTCGTCGCCTCAAGTCAAATTTACGCCAAGAAACCAGTCATGCGAGAATTTCGGACAATCTACAGGTGAGATCAAATTACGAAAAGAAATTAAAATACTAAACTAATTAATATTAATAATTGTGATACGCTCCGAGAAAAGTTTTCTTAAAGGCAAAAGCCTTTAAGAAAACTTTTCTCGAAGCGCGTCACAATTAATAATTGACCGACTATACGATTATTAATATAATGTTTTCTTCCTTAAAACAGAATTATCAATCCAAAGGCAATAACACTAGCGCAATTGTACGGAAGTTTCGATCCAGCGTCACACGAATGGAGCGATGGAATTTTGGCGAATACATTTAGGGAATTTGCTCAATCAATGTCGCAGGATCGCAAGTGGATTATGTTTGATGGACCAGTGGATGCGGTGTGGATTGAGAATATGAATACCGTTTTGGATGATAATAAGAAATTGTGCTTGATGTCGGGTGAAATAATTCAAATGTCAAATAAGATGAATTTAATTTTTGAACCGGCCGATCTTGAGCATGCTTCGCCGGCAACTGTCAGCAGATGTGGAATGATCTATTTGGAACCATCTCAATTGGGTTGGTCGGCTTTATACGAATCCTATAAAAAATCATTGAAGGAAAAATTACTCGTCGAACAATTTGAATTGATTATGGAAATTATCGAGTGGCTCATTGATCCTGTATTGGATTTCATCAAGTATCATTGCAAGACTTTTATTGAAACGTCCGATCTTCATATGTTTTTGGTAAGTGTTTACTAAACAAATATAAAAATATAAAATAAAAATTATTCAAAACAATTAAAATCTAATATTTTAATAAAATTTTCTAAAAGAATTCAAGTATTTAAATAAATCGAAAATTTTAATAAAATTCTTTCCAAACATTCAATTATTTTCAAAAATAATCAAATTTTCACGGGAATTTCATTATTTAAAATGCAATTTTCATAATTTTTTTCGAAAAAAATATTAATTTTAAAAAATTTGAATACAATTCTTCGCAAGAATTAAATCATTTTTGTAAATTTTAAAATTCTTTGAATAAATTAAATTATTTTTCAAAACAATTCAATTATTTTTCACAATTTTAATAAAATTCTTCGCAAGGATTTAATTATTCTTATAAATTTTAAAATTCTTTGAATGAATAAAATTATTTTTAATACAATTTTAGTAAAAATTTTCAGAACAATTCAATTATTTTTCATAATTTTAATAAAATTCTTCGCAAAAATTCAATTGTTTCATAAATAATAAAACTTGTTTTCGTTATTTACTTATTTTGAATTTTGGATATCAATTGTTTTTAATAAAATTTAAAACAAATTTTTTTTTTAATAAAATTTTTAATAAATTACTCGAGAAATTCAATTATTTTTAAAAATTTTATTAAAATTATTCCAAAGAATCCAATTATTATAAAATATTTTGATAAAATTCTTTATAAAAATTCAATATTAAGAAATATTTAATTATTCGTTTAATTGTTTATTTTTGTATATAAATAAAAAAAAAATTTTAAATTCTCGTAGAACTTTCTAAAATATGAATTGACTTAAAAATGAATTTTCAGCTAAACTTTTAGAAATAATTGAATATTAGATAAGCGTTATAGTACAAATTTTGAAAAATAGTTTCAAAAGATTTTTAAATTTAAATCTTTGAAAATCTTATAATTGTTGTAAAACTGTAGTAATATTTGAATTTTCATTTCAAAACATGATTACTTTATTTTTTTTCTTAAAAAGTGATTAAAGTTTAGAATAATTTTATTTCAAAATTTTCTAAAAAAAACGATTGAATTTTGGAAGAGTTACGGTTGTAATTTTTAGAAATAGTTAAATTTCAAAAACGTTTTTCATTGAAATTATTATTTTAAAATATTTTCATCCCTGTGGAAAATTAAATAAGTATTTAAATATTTATTTAACAAAAATTATTCAAGTTTTGAATGTATTTTAATTATTATTTATTATACATAGTTCATGACTTTCGTCTATGAACGAAGAATGTAATTTAATTTCGAAATTATGATAAAAATTAGTCTTTTGAAAAATTGTAGTTAAAATTTTTTGAAACTAGTTAAATTCCCGTAAATAATTTGAGAAGATTAAATTCAATTATTTGGAAATTTTGTCAAATTCAAATTAAATAAATTTTATATTTTAAAGAATTTTATTATTTAACGTTGAAAAATTATTTTTAAATATAATCGTATAACAAAAATTTTAAATGAAAATTTAGAAAATAATTGAATTTTGAAAAATTTTATTAATTGCAGAATTGAAGTTATTAGCATGATGAGGAAAAATGTAAATATTTTCGATGAAAATTAGGAAAAGGACAATGATATTAAATACAAAATCAAATTTTTGTGATTTTTGTGAATCGTTCAAATGGAGTTTTTTCTAGACGTAAAATTTAATTGTTTGATAGCTACTTTTTTTACTATCTTTTTTAGTTTTAAAGCTACATTTTTAAAATTGATTATCGACTCAATGGAAAATGTCACTATTTTCACTTCTTTTATTTGCTTTTTAATATTTTTTCCAGAGTACCTACTTTTTTAAACCAAAGACTTCGAAAAAATTGTTTTTATTCTTTTCGGCTTTGTGAAAAAAATATTTTTCGTCATTCAGAGTTGACGACAACTTTAGGGAAATTAAAACTTTTAATTATTACTTATTAGTCAATTGGAATTTCGTTTCAGTCATTCACGAGATTATTGAGCACGATGTTAGAAGAAGAAACTCAAGTGAGCACCGTCTGGCTCCAGTGTATTCTATTGTTCAGCATCGTCTGGGGAATTTGTCCAACCTTAATCAGCGATAGTAGAAAAGTTTTCGACAATTACTTTCGATCGCTGTTGAATGGTTCAATAGAGGAATATCCAAAACCAAAGGCATTTAAATTAACCAAGCAGCAACTTTTTCCCGAAAGAGGAACAGTATTCGATTGGTTCTACGATAAGAGGAATAATGGCAGTTGGATTTCTTGGATGGAGACAATGACACCGGTAAATTTTTCGTTTATTGCTTCTTTATTAGAGGAAGGATTGTATTTATTTTCCTTGATTTTCAGCCGAGTTTTCCAGCAAATGCGAAAGTGAGCGACTTGATAATTCAAACGAATGAAATGTCAATACAGCATTTCTTTGTCACGAATTTACTGCAGCGATCGATTCCAATTTTATTCGTCGGACCAACTGGCACGGGAAAATCGGCAATTGTTTTGAATTACATGTTGACGTTGCCAAAGGAGAAATTTGTGCAGAATGTGGTGAATTTTAGCGCACGTACGACGGCGGCACAAACGCAGGAGATAATAATGTCGAAATTGGATCGACGCAGGAAGGGAGTTTATGGACCGGCGATGGGAAAGAAATCGATTTTATTTGTCGACGATCTGAGTATGCCACAGAGGGAAATGTATGGCGCACAACCACCGATTGAATTACTTCGACAGTGGATTGATCACGGTCATTGGTTTCATTTAAAGGACACGACGATGCTGTATCTTGTTGATATTCTCCTAGTTTCTGGAATGGTACCACCAGGTGGTGGTTCAAATCAAGTTAGTTCACGATTCACTCGACATATGCATATTGTGGGTATTGATTCATTTGAAGACGCGACGATGACAAGGATATTTTCCTCAATTCTCGAATGGCATTTTGCTAAAGGCTTCGATGGAAATGTTTCAAGATTGACGAAAATGGTGGTGACGGGGACAATGCAAGTTTTTCAGGAGGCGATCAGGAATTTTTTGCCCATCCCAGCGAAGAGTCACTATCTCTTCAATCTTCGGGATTTCAGTCGGGTTATTAATGGAATTATTCTCGTACCTGCGGGAAGTATGAAGGATCCGGATAAGTTAATAAAACTCTGGATTCATGAAATTTATCGAGTATTTCACGATCGGTTGGTGGACGAAGAGGATCGGGATACTCTCTTCGGGATTGTGAAGCGTACTTGTTATGAACATTTACGACAACCTTTGGAAAAAGTTCTGGGTAATTTGCTCAGGGAGGACGAGAGCGTAATTACGAAGTTTCATATTCGAGATCTCTTTTTTGGTAACTATATGGAACCGGACGCGGAGCCGAAGATTTATGACGAAATCGCGGATCTTGGGGATCTGCAAGAGAAAATGGATTACTATCTTTCGGAGTATAATATGGTGTCAAAGACGCCAATGTCCCTGGTGCTGTTTCGTTACGCAGTCGAGCATATTTCGAGAATTTGTCGTATTCTCCTGCAGGATAATGGCCACGCTTTGCTTGTTGGTATTGGCGGATCGGGAAGAAGTTCGTGCGCGAAATTAGCGACAAATATGTGTGAATACGTGTTGCGGCAAATTGAAATTACCCGTAATTACGGACAGGGGGAGTGGAGAGACGATTTGAAGGCTATGCTACTAAAAGTTGGAATCGAAGGCAAGCGTACGACTTTTCTCTTCGGGGATAATCAAATCAAGGATGAGTCTTTTGTCGAGGATGTTAATATGATATTGAATAGTGGCGATGTACCGAATCTTTATGCCACCGAAGAGAAGGCGGAGATTCTCGATAAGATGATGAATACGATAAGAGATAGTGGAGCGAAGAAAGTGGAAACAACCCCAATGGCACTTTATAACTTTTTTATTGAGAGAATCCGGAAGAATCTTCATATTGTCTTGACAATGTCGCCGATTGGTGATGCATTTCGCACACGATTGAGAATGTTCCCGTCGCTTATTAATTGTTGCACAATCGATTGGTTCACCGCATGGCCCGAGGACGCTTTGGAGAGAGTTGCGCAAACTTTTCTCAAGGATTTGACAATAACTTCGGAGGTACGTGACAAGTGTGTTGTTATTTGTAAACAGTTTCATACGAGTGTGGATCGTGCGAGTGATGATTACTTCAGGACGCAACATCGTCGAAATTATGTGACACCGACGAGTTTTTTGCAATTGATCAAGTCATTGTATAAATTCTACGGACAGAAGGTGGAGCAGATAACGAAACAGCAATATCGTTATGAGACTGGTTTGGAAAAATTGGATTTCGCCGCGGGACAGGTTGTGATAATGCAGGATGAATTACATGCTCTGCAGCCGAAACTCGTGGCACAGTCGCAATTGAGTGATAAATTGATGATAAGAATCGAGCAGGATACTATTAATGTAGAGGCGAAGAAGGAGGTGGTGGCTGCTGATGAAGCGTTGGCTAATGAAGCGGCAGCGGCAGCGCAGGCTATTAAGGATGATTGTGAGAGCGATCTGGCGGAAGCGACGCCTGCATTGGAGGCTGCTTTGGCAGCTCTTGATACTCTGAAACCGGCGGATATTACTATTGTGAAATCGATGAAGAATCCACCGGCGGGTGTCAGATTGGTTATGGAAGCTGTTTGTGTACTGAAGGGAATTAAACCTGATCGGATACAAGACTTGGCGACTACGCAAACAATCGAAGATTATTGGCCCGCTTCGATAAGAATGCTAGGTGATATGAAGTTTTTGGATAGTTTGAAAACATTTGACAAGGATAATATTCCTCTGGGTAATATGAAGAAGATACGGGACAGATACATGAATGATCGTGGTTTTCAACCGGATGTTATCAAAAAAGTGTCGACCGCCTGCGAGGGTCTTTGTAAATGGGTGCGAGCAATGGAAGTCTACGATCGAGTGATTAAAGTTGTAGCGCCGAAGAAGGCAATGTTGGCCGAAGCCGAGGGAAAGTTGGCAGTTCAGATGGAAATGTTGAACGCGAAGAGAAATCTTCTTCAGGAAGTTACGGGAAAATTGCAACAATTGAACGATGAGTTTGCGGAGTGTATGCGAGAGAAGAAGAAACTCGAGGATGCGATTGATATGACGATGCAAAAATTAGACAGGGCGGAGAAATTATTAGGAGGTTTGGGTGGAGAGAAGACAAGATGGAGTCAAACTGCAGAGGCGCTTGGTTCCAGTCTTCAAAATGTGATCGGAGACGTTCTACTTGCTTCGGGAGTTGTCGCCTATTTAGGAGCATTCACTGTCGATTACAGAATTAATTTACTGCAAGATTGGCATGAATCCTGCGTGAAAATGGAAATTCCAAGAAGTTCGAAATTCAGTTTGCTTGAGATTCTCGGCGAGCCGGTGGAAATTCGCTCGTGGATGATTCATGGACTACCAGCCGATAATTTCTCCGTGGAAAATGGAATTATTATCAAGAGTGCCGATCGCTGGCCATTGATGATAGATCCACAGGTAATTTTTTTTTATTACAATCCAGAGTTTTTCCATTTTGACTACTTTTTCTCTTTTTTTTAGGGTCAAGCGAACAAATGGATCAAGTCCATGGAGAAGGAGAACAAATTATCAGTTATCAAACTAACCGATTCGAATTACGTCCGTATTTTGGAGACCGCAATACAAATGGGACATCCAGTTCTCCTGGAGAATATCCTAGAGGAAATTGACGCAATTCTCGAGCCAGTTTTACTAAAAAATATCTACAAACAACAAGGAGTGTTCTATTTAAAATTCGGGGAAGAAATTCTCGAGTACGATTTAAATTTCCGTTTTTATATAACTACGAGACTTCGCAATCCACATTATTTACCGGAGACTGCGGTAAAAGTGACACTATTAAACTTTATGATAACCCTACAAGGCCTGCAGGATCAATTATTAGGAATTGTTGTTGCAAAAGAATTGCCAATTCTCGAGGAAAAGAAGAATCAACTTATCGTCGAGGGCGCAAATAATAAACGTATTTTAAAGGAAATTGAGGATAAAATTCTAGAAGTACTTTCAACATCGGAGGGTAATATTCTCGAGGACGAGACGGCAATAAAAATTCTCTCAAGCTCGAAACTATTGTCAGAGGACATTCAAAATAAACAGAAAATAGCCTCGAAAACATCGGATGAAATTGATGAGGCAAGAAATGGTTATAAAATTGTCTCACGTCATGGTGCTGTATTATTTTTTTGTATTTCCGAACTCGCGAATATTGATCCAATGTATCAATATTCACTGCCTTGGTTTATTCATCTATACGTGATGGCAATTGCAAATAGTGAAAAATCAAAAGATTTAGCTTTGAGGATGAATAATTTGAATGAATATTTCACAAAGAGTATCTATCGTAACGTGTGTCGTTCTCTATTTGAAAAGGACAAATTGATATTCTCACTTGTTCTCTGCGTGGGAATTATGAAATCAGAGGGAAAATTGGAAGATGATTTGTGGACATTTCTATTAACAGGCGGTGTTGCATTAAAAAATCCCTATGCAAATCCAGATCCTTCGTGGCTGTCGGAGAAATCCTGGTCCGAAATTGTGAGAGTTTCCCAACTACCAGAATTGGGGGAATTAAAAAAATCATTTGAAACATTCACCTCGAAATGGAAGATTTTTTACGATTCATCGAATCCACAGGAGAATCAATTCCCCCCACCTTTTGAGAATGAAATTAATAGTTTGAAAAAATTGGTAATTCTCCGTTGTATCAGACCCGATAAACTCGTTTCCGCTGTTCAGAGTTTTGTCATTCACAATATGGATCAATCTTTCATTGAACCACCGCCATTTGATCTGCAAGATTCGTATAATGATTCGAGTAATATTTCACCATTGGTGTTTATTCTTTCGCCTGGTTCGGATCCAATGACGGGACTGATAAAATTCGCCGAGGATAAAGGAATGGGAAAGAAGAATCTTATGTCGATTTCTCTTGGTCAAGGACAGGGACCAATTGCTGCCGAGATGATTAATAAGGGGATAAAAACAGGTGAATGGGTTGTTTTGCAAAATTGTCATCTCGCTGAATCGTGGATGAAGGAATTGGATCGAATATGTGATGAGATTATCACTCCAGAGAATACTCATGAGAAATTTCGAATTTGGCTGACGAGTTATCCGTCGAAGGCATTTCCAGTTTCGATCCTACAGAATGGAGTGAAAATGACGAATGAAGCGCCAAAGGGTTTGAAGAATAATTTACTGCGAAGCTACACAAATGATCCAATATCGGATATGAAATTCTTTAACGTCTGTCCAAAAATTGAGGAGTGGCGAAATTTGCTTTTTTCACTTTGCTTCTTTCACGCTGTTGTACAAGAAAGACGGAAATTCGGTCCTTTGGGTTGGAACATTCCTTACGAATTCAACGAATCTGATTTACGAATCAGTGTTCTACAATTGCAGGTATTTGCCTTAATTTTTTTAATTTTATTTCAATTTCAGGGTTGCCACGCTTTTTCTCTTTTCAAATTCCCTGACTTTTCCAGGTTTTCCAGGTTTTTAAAACGAAAATTTTATTTGAAAAAATCAATAACTTCATTTTTAAATAAATTATTATTATTTTTTCATAGAAATTAAGATTTTCAAAAATTTGAAATTTAATAAGAATATTATTGTAAAACATGAAGATATCGATCACTCCGAGTCTTTGACTCAAAGTAATCGCTTTCTTCATGTTTTATAATAATTAAAACTTGCTACTTTGTTACTGTAACTTCTTCAAAACTAATTTTCATCATTACGATTATTTATTTCTAGAATTTTCAACTAAAATTTTTCTGTAAGTCAATTTTTTAAAAAAAATTTTTGAAAAAGTTCTTTGAGAATTTTTAAATTCTTTTGTTTACAATTTAATTTTACGAAATTTCGATTATTCTGATATTCTTCAATTGAATATATTAAAAATAAAAAACTTAAAATAATTTCAAAAAGAAATTCTATTAAACTTTATGAAAAAAAATAATTCTACAGAATTCTTAATTAAACATATGAAAAGTTCAATTTTTCGAAAATTTTAATTTAAAACCTTTTGAAAATTCAATTATTTCTGAAAATCCACGCTATAATGCTTTCAATATTTAATTATAATTTAAAATTTTAACTAAAATTCATTTTTAATTGAATATTTATTGGAAAATTCTACGAGATTTCAATTATTTAACTATAAAAATAAAAATTTTGTTAAATTAAATGTTTCTTAAAATTGAATTTTCATAAAGAATTTTATCAACAAATTTTTAAATAGTTGAATTCTCTTAACAAATTTTAATACATTTTTAAAGAATAATTTCATTTTTCGAAAATTTTTATGAAAATTGTATTAAAAATAATTGAAATTCTGACAAGAATTTTATAAAATTTTTTTAAAATAATTGAATTTCAGTGATAAATTTTATTATTTATAAAGATAATTGAAATTTTTACCAGAATTTTCGGAAATTTTTGAACATAATTGGATTTCTGCGAAGAATTCTATTACTTTTGAAAATAATTGAATTCTTGACACAAATTTTATTAAAATTTCTTTTTAAATAATTCAATTCTTTTGTGAAATTTTATTGAAATAGTGGATATTGAATTTTGACAAATTTTTTAAATTAATTACATTTCTACGAAGAATTTTATTAAAATTATTTTGAAAAAATTGAATTGTTAGAAAGAATTTTATTAAAATTTTTGAAAATAATTTAATTCTTGGAACAAATTGTAGCAAAGGTTTTTAAAATAATTTAATTTCTTTTATAAGTTTTAATCAAATTTTTTAAGAATAATTACATTTTTCGAGAAATTTCATTAAAATTGTATTAAAAATAATTGAAAGTCTGCGATGAGTTTTATTATGTATTTATGAAAATAATTAAATCCCAGTAAAAAATGTTATTATTTATAAAAGTAATTGAATAATAATTTATGTAAATAATTTGTAAATAATTGAATTTCTGTGAAATTTTTATTATTTATGAAAATAATGAAATGTTTGATTAGAATTTTATTAAAAATTGTTTTTAACTAATTGAATTCTTTTGGGATTTTTTATTAAAGTAGTAGATATTAAAAATCATTAAATTGAGAAAAGTTTTTGAAAATAATTAAAAGCTTATCAAGACTTTTAATAAAATTTTTAAAAACAATTGAATTTCTGACAAGAATTTTACTACTTTTGGAAATAATTGAATTTCTACAATCACTTGTAATTGCTTCAAAATTCAATTTTTTTTAGTGTTTTTAACTAAAAATTCTTCTATAAATCCATTATTTTTAATAATCAATTAAATAAATTTAGGTATTAAAAAATTTAACTAATTTCAGAAGAATTTTAATTATTAAAATTTTTTTAAATTTCTAATTAAATTCATTTAAAATTGAATTTTTACAAAATTTCAAATCGAAATCTTTTGAAGGAATTTTAGTTATTATAAAATTTTTAAAAATGTCTAATTAAATTCATTTAAAATTGAATTTTTACAAAATTTCAAATCGAAATCTTTTAAAGGAATTTTAGTTATTAAAATTTTAAAAAATTACTAATTAAATTCATTTAAAATTGAATTTTTACAAAATTTCAAATCAAAATCTTTTGAAGTTCATCTACTAATGAAAATTGTAAACGTAACTCTTTTAAAAATGAATTAATTTGGAAATATTTAAGTAAAATTATAGATTTCAAGAATAAACACAATATCTTTAGAAAACAACAATTTTTCTGGATTTCGATCAAAATTCCCTGACTTTTCCTGGTTTTTTCAAAGTCTATAAAATTCCCTGACATTTTCAGGTTTTCCAGGTTTCGTGGCAACCCTGAATTTTCTCTTTATGAATATGTTTTTTTAAATTTATTTCAATTTTTCTTTATGTAAATATTTATTATTAGGTCACAAAGTGTTAAAACAATTTCTCATAAATATAATAATTTACAGATGTTTCTGAACGATTACGATGAGGTGCCATTTGATGCTCTGCTTTATTTAACCGGAGAATGTAATTACGGAGGAAGAGTAACTGACGACAAGGACAGACGATTATTAAATTCTCTATTAGAAATTTTCTACAATCAACAAGTACTTTTAAATGAAAACTACAAATTTTCACCGAGTGGAATTTATCATCTTCCCAAAAATACAAATCATTCCGATTGTCTTAATTATATTCGTAATTTGCCAATTAATCAATTACCGGAAGTTTACGGTTTACATGAAAATGCCGACATAACGAAGGACAATAAAGAGTCAATGGAACTTCTCGAGGGTGTTTTATTGACGCAAATTCAAATAACAAGCGCCGGGGCTGAAAGTGATATGGAATCGATTGTCTCGAATATTGCGGGAAATATTTTATCAAATCTACAAGAACAATTTGATGTGGAGAGTATTTCGAAGAAATATCCTGTGCTTTATATGAATAGTATGAATACAGTTTTACGTCAGGAATTGATAAGATTTAATAAACTCACGGCAGTGATTAAAAGTACATTGAAGAATGTTCAAAAAGCAATTAAAGGTGAAGTGGTGATGTCAATGGATTTGGAGGAAGTTTTCTTCAGTATTAGTATTGGAAAAGTTCCAAGTATTTGGGATAAAAAATCTTATCCATCATTGAAACCCCTTGGGAGTTATGTGAACGATTTAATGGCTAGAATTTTGTTTCTTCAAGAATGGATCGATAATGATGCGCCTATTGTTTTTTGGATATCGGGCTTTTTCTTCACTCAGTCGTTCTTGACGGGAGTTTTGCAAAATTACGCTCGTAAACATACAATACCGATTGATCATTTGGATTTTGAATTTGAAATCACTTCGATGGAAACAACAGCCGAAACTTGTCCTCCAAGTGGTGTTTATATAAAAGTATTTATTTTTTTTTTTTATTAAAGTTTATGTTTGCATAGTTAAAATAATTAAATTTATAGACGATAAATTTTCTTAATTGCAAAAATTTCCGATTTTCAGGGATTATTTCTTGAAGGCTGCAGATGGAACAGAGAAATAATGGAACTCGACGAATCGAAACCAAAAATAATGTTTGACACAGTGCCAATAATTTGGTTGAAACCGGGAATTAAGGAAGGATTTAAAATTTCGAATGTTTATAATTGTCCGGTTTACAAGACAAGTGCAAGACGAGGTATTTTAGCGACAACCGGACATTCCTCGAATTTTGTCATGTACATTCTTTTACCATCAAAATTAGAGGAGTCTCATTGGATTAATCGTGGAGTCGCTTGTCTTTGTCAACTTGATGATTGAATTTTTTTTTCGCGAGGTAAATATATTTTTTTTATTTCTTATTCTCTTAAAAAGGTAGATAATAATTTAGAAAAAATTATTTCGAATCGAAAATAAAGTAAATAAAAATAAATAAAATACGTAATTTAGTTTAATTTAATTAAGCTTTTAGTAAAAATAAATAAGACATAAATGATTTAAAAATAAAGCGAAACAATAAAATATTATTAATAATAAAATTATTGCCATCTTGTTTCTATTTTCCAACAATTGTATTTTTTGTTTTGAAACATTTTTTCTTTATTCGTTTTGCATTATTAATTTATTTCTGTTTTTTGATGTTTGTTTACTTGTTTTATTGACATTTACTTTTTTAATTGTCAATTTTTTTAATTTTTATTATTCTCTTTCCGTTTATCATTTAATTATTTATTTTTATTTCCTTTATTTTACAGTATCAAGAAAGAATCCGACGAACAGTCAAAAAAGAAATTAATCCAATGTCATAATTTTGTATTTTAAAAGTTTTACAAGAAAAAGAGAAATTTTAAATTCGTTTCGGTAGATGGGGAAGTAATTTAATTTTCAATTTTTTCTATAACTTACAATAATTTATTTTCAAATAACTTAATTTTTCAAGAACTATCATAAAATTATGACTTATAAATTATTTAATGAATAATTTTTACAGTTTTTATAAATACTAAAATTGATAGGAGAAGTTTAGTTAAAAGTACTAAAAAAATGAATTTTGGAAAGGTTACAAATTATTCCCGAAATTCAATTATTCTCAAAAGTTATAGAAATTCTTCGCAGAATTCCAATTATGTTAAAAAATTTTTTTTAAATTCTCACCAAAATCGCAATTATTATCTTTATAAATAAAAAAATTCTTCTTCAAAATTCAATTATTTTTAAAAATTTTAATAAAATTTTTGGCAAAATTTCACAGGAATTCAATTATTTACAAAATTTTTAATAAATTTCTTCGAAATAATTCAATTATTTTCATAAGTAATAAAATTTTGACAGGAATTCAATTATTTAAAATACAAAAGTTCATAAAATTTTTTGAAAAATAATTATTTAAAAAGATTTTTATAAAATTCATCTCAAGAATTCAATTATTTAAAAAAATTTAATAAAGTTCTTTTCAAGAATTCAATTATTTTTATAAATAATAAAATTCTTCACCGAAATTCAATTATTTTTATAAACTTGAATAAAATTCTTTGCAAGAATTCAATTATTTATATAAATAATAAAATTCTTCGAAAAATGTAATTATTCTTAAAAATTTTATTAAAATTTGTCAAAAGAATTCAATTATTTAAAAATTTGTTCATTCAATTATGCAATAAATTATTTATTTTAAATAATTGAATATTTCTTCTAGAATTTTTTAATAAAAATTTTTTAAAAAAGGAATTACCGATAAATCGATTTATTATTTATGAAAATATTTGAATCATTGCAACGAATTTTATTACATTTTTTTAAAATAATTGAATTTTTTTGAGAATCTAATAATTTTTAGAGTGAATCGGAATATTTTTTAGGGTCAGGGAAAAAGTGAAATTTTTTTTTTGGAAATCAGAGAAAAGTCAGGGAAAAATAAAATTAAATATTTGTGTCATTTTTTGGATTTTCTTAATGACTGTTGTAATTTTTATTTATGTGGCAATTTTTATTTGTTTAAAATGTTTAAAATTAAATTTTTTACTCTTCACCAAAAACGAATTTAAAATCAAATTTGTTTTTTCTTTTCAAATACGAAATTATAACATTGTACTAAATTTTATTTTGACTGTCCGTCAGATTTTTCTTTAACTAATTATTATTATTATTTATTCTGCATGCGTAATTTTTATTTTTACTGTTTAATACTTTTAATTTATTAATTATCATACAGTGTTTATGATTAATTTCTTTTTATTCTCATCAAAATTTAATTTCCAATTATCAATGTTATCATAATTTTCATTAGTCTAATTTCTTATTATTTCAATTCAATTCTTTATTCAATTTTTCGAAAAATCATTTCAATTTCGGAAAATGAGATTTCAAATCTCCAATTCAAATTATCCCGCCAGTTTGACACTTGCAAGTCGCAGCGCCATCTGCTCTGAAGTTAGCCGAAGGTAAACACTGAAAATATAGGTTAAGTTAGAACATGTACAATATCAAAGTCCTTAGTTCTAATTAGGAAGCACTTACAAAGTTTTTAGTTCACTAAATTTTATTAGTTAAATAATGTTTTTATTGTTTAATGAAAATTAATAAATATTGTTGCAAGAAATGATTTTCTTTAAAAATAATGTGAAATTAGTTGTTCGCACATCTGTAGTGAATTTTTTTTGCTCGTGATGGCATGACCGGGCTTTGTACTTTTCCAAAAAGAGAGAAAAAAAAAATATTCCTTGAAATGTTATTTTAAAATTTGTGGCAAGTTGAAAGATATATTAACGTGTGTTTAGTGTATTATACATAATTCAGGAGCATTAAAATTTATTCGAAAAAATTTGGTAAGTATTCTATTTATCAATAATATCTATACAAAAGGTATACATATTAGTCTACCCGTCTTTTCTCAAGGTTGTTATCTGCTCTTGTGGCAAAGCCGATGGTTCATTGACCTTGACTTCGTAACAAATAAACGAGTTTTGAATTGATTTACACAAGAGTCGCAATGTCTAGTAATCAGAAATCTATTTTGCATTGTTAAAAATTTCTTTTTCTCCACAATCATTATTGATGTATTATATTGGTGTAGTGACGATTCTAACCTAAGTTTATTTGTGCAAATTTATAATGTGTATCTAGTATATTCTTTATTAACCGGTTGTTTTTCAAAGGATTTCAACTTGTCTGAACCTGTTTATTTCAAGGTTGAAGGTCAATTATAATGTTTTGATTATGGTTTTGTTAATAAATTGAGAAAATGGTTTCTCATTTCGAAAATTTGGTAAAAAGGGTTTGGAAAATTTAATTTCTAACCTAACTTTTGATAAATATCGAGGGAAATCAAAGGAAAAAAGTGAGAATGGTGAGAATTAAAAAGGGAAAAGTGTTAAATCAGAACTTTTGTTTTGTAATTCTGTTATGTCACTAATATTCTCTCGGTGCAAAAATCTATTTTTACATACGTTATTAGAACTATCGGACAACCTGGTTTCATTTAGCAATTTTAAACCAGATTTCAAGAATTGCAATCCAACCAGTTTATTTCAGTAGTAGGTTTCTAAGTTGTAGCTCCATTTTTTGAATAAAAGGATTGGAATTAGTTTCAAGTTTCACTATCAATGTGCATTCTTTAGTTTCTTGGACAAAAAATTTTTTTTATTCACTCTTCAATTAATTTTTATTTACTATTTAGTATTTTAATATTTAGTATTTATTATATTTAGTATTTATTATATTTATTTTCTATTTTTTCAATTATCTTTTTAAAAAGAAATATTTCTGCGAGACTATTTGATTTTCTATGCTAATAATTTTTCTGAAAAATAAGATTATATTTGCAGAAAATCGTGGGCTTTTGAATGAAAGCAAATTCTATAAACTCAAATGAAATATTTCCGAGACACCCACACGTCTAGGTTTTTCAATACTTTTTTTTCATTGAATGTTCTTTATACAATATTACTTTTATAGGTCACTGAATTTATCTCAATTTGTCTTGACATTCTGAATAGAAAATATTCCCTCAATGATTTTATAAGTTTTGTTATTTTCTAAGGGAAATTTCAGACACTTTATGTATTAATTTGCAAGTTTGTATTCAAATTGAAGGAAAATAATTAATCATTTTTGTTATTAATTTGAAAAAATAGTATTTCTAGCTGAGATTTCGATTTTAAGTTTTTTAGCACTTAATTCTTTTTTTCTTATTTTTTTTTAATTAGTTATTAAACGTTAATTTTGTTTTGAATCAAATTTCCCGTGAGTTCTGCGAGTCTCATCAGCAGTTTTAAAAAAATCACAAGCTGATATTATACCCGCTCTCTTGTAACTTTAAAAGTGCTGACTAAAAGTTTTGAAAACTTAAATTACAAGTATTATATCTCGCTGATAATTTAATGTCGCAGTTTGATGAGGTATATCATTTCGTTTAAAAAGTCTTTGAAAGGAAAATAAAATTTTTTATACAGTTTTTTTTTCTTGCTTTTTGGATATATGAAAATAAAGATAAAATAAAAATAATATTAATATAAAGAGTGACATTTATGTATATTTACACATATACATGGAATCGAACTCGTGAAATCAAAACGGGTTAAGTATTTTTTGAATGCGATATCAGATGACCTCAACTCCACTCAACAACTTCACTCTAGTTTATTTCATATTCGAATCAAAAGACTTTTAGCCTGTTTTTAATATTTTCATATGTCAATCCTTTATTCAAAAAAAAAAAAAAAAAAAAAAATTATATAAATACTAAATGTTTAAGTGAATAAAAATGAATGCAATTGACATTTACATTATTTGCGCTGAAATACGATTAAATTTGAATCTATTTTTATTCTTTTGAATTAAATGAAGCAAAATTAATTACAATTAAAATAATCCAGAAGTATTCAGAGTTCAAATGAAGGAAATAATTTTCATTAAAAATATTTTCATAAATTACTGATTGGAAAATTAAAAAGTTAAATTTAATATTTGGAAACTTTGTGAATTTTTTTTAATACATAATGTATTGTATTAAATTAATAAATTATTATTGATAATTAATAAATTATTATTGTCAATTAATAAATTATTTTTGCCAATCTATAAATTATTATTTTAATAAATAATAAATTATTGTAATAAAATTTCAATTTGAAGAGGGAAGAAATATATTTCGTTCATTTGAATGTTCAGAACTTTAGGAAAATTAATTAAATTGTTGATTAAATAATAACTTTTAATTAATTCTAACATTAATAACAACTTTTTTTTTGCAGAAATTGTTGGTGTTCTTTGATGTTTACGGTGAATGCTGCTTCTTTTTCGACAATCGGTGAGTAATATTTTTTCATTTTTATCTATTTGCACTTAATTCTTGAATTTTTGTGCATGACGTTTATTAAAAAATTATAGTTACATTCGTAACTAA